GGGGGGGGGGAGGGGAAATCGTATCGATTTTATCGTACCTCTTGTAAGCGGCTGGACTCGAAGTCTTTGAGCTGTTGTTGGAAACCGACGTTCGGGTTCGCGATGGAACGGCCCACCCTGACGACTTTGAGCGCCTCTTTCCAAGACAGATTGGTGGTGCTCATGATATAGGCCACCGCCACCGTCACGCTCCTCGACATTCCCGCCAGACTGAAAAGGTTATCTCCGTGAAGATTCACGAGGACACTCTCGACGAATCGTGAATTCTACGCCGAATTTCGAAATACAGCGCGGTTGCGCGCTCAATGCGACGAAACTTATATCTACCAATGAATCAGAACGTTTCCGCCGCGAAGACGGGCGGCGTGAATGAAGTCGTTGCACAGCGAGAAGTACTGCGACAAGTTCTGATCGGGACTGTCGGCCGCCAAGATGCACAAGTAATGTTTGTCCTACAAAACAAGAGTGATTTTCGCATTGTTGCGTTCACATATAAATGATGCACGGCAGAGCGAGACACTCAAACTTCCGGTGAAAACCCTAAACGTGACTGATACTTTTTTCAGTCCACCAAATAGGTCCGTAATTGCAACCAATACGTGTGCGCTGGAATACTTTATACGACATTATTCAGGTTTGTAAATTTCCCACAGGGAAACAGAAATAGTTAAGGCATAACTGAGTTTGCCATTATATAGACCGAACATTAAACTATTCAAATATGTCAGCAGTTCTTTATAATTCTGAAATTAGTAGAATAAGGCTTCGGCCAGAAATTTGCATGTTTCGCTGTGTGATGGATCCTATCTTTCCGTTTACGAGGCGTGCATGCGTGAGCACATTTTTCGCATACTCACCGAATGTAAACGACGGGCCGTGTCGTGGATGGCCAAAATGTGCGTAATCTCGAAACGCTCCAATTGATCGGCGTCCTTGCTGTCCTGATAATTACCTACGTAAAGACCAGGGAGCACCTGCCAACACATCAAATAAACGTTAACTCAGGCGAGGTTGCGAAAGCCGGGATTCTCATGGCGGCTCTTTAATTAATATTCAAATCGACGCGTCTCGCCTAACAGATACCCTGTAACCAAAAGCCTCTATAGAACGTATGAAAAGACCGTGACCCTAAATAGACACGTTGAATGAACCGAGACGACGCGCGATGTCTTCGTCACTTCTTCCCCCGCGGCTCTAATTTAAAATGCTACCGTCTCTTTACGGCATTCTGTTTGGCGAAAGATTATTTGGACGACGAAGACGACGACGGCGACGATAGCGATAAATCCGGGTCAGGTCCGCGACGGAGGTATGCAAACGCGGTTATGGATTCGTGATGGGCGTCGAGCCGGGCACCGTAATCTTAGATTAACTTACCCCGTTTGACAAATATTGAATTTTCAATGGAAGGTAGCGTTCGAGCTAGCGAACGTCCGTCACTTGTCATTTACCATTTGCGGATGCCTTCATCTGTACCGAGTCGATTCTGTTTAACGAGAGTCCGATCGAACGGAAAAAATATCTTCTTTCTCAGCGTCCCTTCCGTCTATTGAAACAAGTTTCACACTTCGGAGGATCGAATGAGAATCGAGACGCATTAAAAGAAGCAATCCCGCAGCGAGCTCATTAACAATTCGAGTCTGACGTTTGTTCCTGCGGAGCCGCGCTACCATGAAAATATTCCATTTTCCCCGTCAGTCTTAATCCCCTCACGAATTAATTTCATTCGTTGCTCTTATCACAGTTACCCCTTGCGGGATCCTTCATCGCGCTCTCGTCGCGCGTTGATTTAGTTGGGAGAGAACGACCGGGTCGTGGCTCTCCTCGACGAGACCGCCGGCGAGAGTGCCTGACGGCTGTCTGTCGTCTCGTGATCGATCGATCCCGAGAACAGCAGGCGAAAAAAAAAATAGAAAGAAAGGGAGAGAAAAAAAAGAGGGCGACATGCTCGCCCCGTTGAGTGGAGAGCAAAAACGAATAAACAGGCTGTCGTGCCGGCGGCGTTGGCACGCGACGAAAATGCGATTTCGATCGCTCGTAGTTGGTCTCCCGACGTATAAATGTGTGTGTGTGTGTGTGTGTGTATTTGCGCGATTCACGGCAACGTGCAGAAGATAGCGTCGGGGCATCGATCGCCCGGACGAGACGTCGGTGTCGCATAGATTGCGATCTCATCCGCTCGGTGACATCAAAGCCGCCACCCGCGCGCCCGAACTCGTCGAAGCCCTCTCGAACGTTTCCCGAGGAACATCTCGATCTCGCATGGTCCGTCTAGGACCGTGCTTTCGCTCAGGTGTTCTCGATACCTCACGTCCTCGTCTTCTGTCGAAGGATCGCGCTCGATCCGACCCCGGGAGCTACCTGGTGCGAATGGGAAAATTAAACGTCACGTCGATGCTGACGGGGCCGACACTCGCGAGAGGATCGTCTCGAATGCGAATTACATCGTAAGCGACGAAAAGGACGCGGTTGCCTCGGAGAAGGCACGATTGAGGGATAAAACCGTCGTCAAGGAAGGTGAAGGATAACGGATGTTGACTACCGAGGAACCGAGCGATGTAACTCTTCCTTTTTCTATCGGCAATTTCTGTCGCTCTACCTTCGTCGAGATGATTGAACATTGAGCAATGATATTTGCATGTGCGACAGAAACAGAGTGCCGGGTCCTGTCGTTCGGAAACACAATCGTTCTTCGTGACGAGCAGCCCGTCACGTGTATTAACATGATAAAAGCGAAGCAAAAGAGTGAAGGAATGGACAATTTATCAAGCGTAATTAGATAAGGAATCTGCTGTTTACAAAAAGCTGTTTTACAAGAACAAGAACGATCCGATTGCATCTCGATCGTTTTATCTATCAGAACGGCCGAGCGCCCAACACGCCATTGTGTAATATTGAGACAACACACACATGTGTGTAAAAAATGAGAGATGGGCTTCTCTCGCGATTGCCGCGACGAATCGCGATAACAACGCACAGAAAGACAAAAAGGTGCCGCATTCAAGTAAACTTTCGCTGAACAGCATTGGAGTAATTGTTTCACTTGGATCAAGTAAATATCACTTGAATGTAGTATCATTGAAAGAAAAAAAAAGAAAAGCGCTGCATTCAATATTTACTAAATATTCACTTGATACGAATAAAATAGTTATTCCGGCACTCCTTTTACCTTAGCACTTTGTTCTTTCGGTGCGACAGGCGGCTCCTCTCGCGAGTTTCTCACCTTGTTCATGCCATTCCCCATGATGCTGCCGCGATGACGAGCGCGTGCTGAAGTGTTATCGATTTAAAGGCGCGAATCGCGCACGAGCCTTCCGCTGGCCGCCGTCATCTCGAGCCTCTTGAACTTATTCCTCGGCGATACGATACGATTCTCATCGGCGAGAGAGCGGTATTGTTCGTCGAGCACCATCCTCCGCGGTATAGACCGAAGCTCCATTAAACTGCCGCGCATTCGCTCGTATACGCCGGCGACGGTATAGCTCTCGAATATAGCTTAGGAACGCGTGGACCACGTGGCTCGCGACTCGATCGACCTTTCCTTCCGGCATTCGCGGTCTTATCGTCGTCGTTTCTCTTCTTGGTAATTCGTCACGCTCGCCTCGGTCATCATCGGTTGCGTTAGCATCTCCAGCGATTTTGCGTGTGTGTTTGCGTGTGACGTTATTCGGGAATTTATCTGAACTTTCTTTCCGGCGGTGCGATAATTCGCGCGCTCTCATTTATCACTCGCAACTAAGCGATACAGGATCGTCCCTCTCGATAACGTGTTCCGCATCTTCTCCGCGCAGAACGAGGCTGTGTCTTTTAGCGCGCCGGCTTGTCCCGATTCTCGTGGCGCGAGGGAGCATTGAAATTCATGACATTTTTTCCTCGCCTCTTTATCGAAGTACTTCCGACTTTTGCGTACAGTCTACCCGACGGGATGGATCCCATTTATATGCGGATTCGCCCGCCTCGGAGCGCACAACACGGACGGGAAATACAGCGCGTGCGTTTTAGGCGTGCTTTTTTGCACGCGAGCGCCGGAGCAATCGGCTTTTCGGTTTAGAGCTCTACGTTGAGCGAAATAGGGCTGTCTCCGGGGACTCGCCTGTAATCATGACGCAGTACCTTCAATACTGCGGGAAAAAAAGTTGTCAGTTAAAGGCGTCGAGATATCGTGCAACGAAAATAGCGGGAGAGGAGAAAATTTGTCTCGAGTATCGATCAGCGATACGCGGCACGATTACCTCGCTCGAAAGAGGAAACGTGTCGCTTGTTCTTTCGAGAAAGTGGGACAAGTTATTGATAAATTGTCGCCCCATGTGTGGGATGCATGTGTGTACGTGTCTCAATAATTGTCTTGAAAATGGATGAATAGCTGCTGCTGTGATTTGCTAAAAAAATTTCATCTCACGAACGATCGACGTCACCCTTGGAATTATGCCGGGACAATCGCGTCGTCGCGGGATTGCCCAAAAAATAATAGTTCTTCCTTGCCCGCAAGAAATTATTATATACGGAGATCAATTCCCATTACGAACAACGGCTGGCATTATCTCAAAAAATAAAAAGGCAGGAGATGAGGTTTAAAGAACCACCAGCACGCTTATCGATTATTTTAAAATCAATGAAATGGATTATAAGGACTCGGCTACCTGGTAGGTACGTTAACCTACTTTGCCGATAGTACTGGTGTTTCCGCTCCTAAACGAAAACAAATCTCGTAATTAACCCTTGTGGTTAATCTTGTGGAAGTACAGGGGAATTTTATGCGTAAATGCTTCTAATTATTATAACAGTCCGCCGAAATTTTGGTGTTACTTTAACATGGGAATATATTAAAAAGTACACAAATATATGTTAAATTAACGCATTCATCTTGTTAAGATGTTACATTTTAACATGTTCACCTTGTTAAAGTAACACAGAAATTTCAGTAGGCTGTTATTTACACAAAATGTTTTTAAAATGTCTTTAGTCGAGAAATTTTTTTAACGGAATATTTCCAAACATTTGGCAATACGAGATTACGAAAGGGAACACTCGTCGTTACTATTCGGACGTGTTCCGAAAAGATTTAATTACACAATTCCGTGACCGTATATCAAATTAGCGTCAAGGTCTCCGAGACTGTTGTCTCGTGCCAGAAAAATAGAGCTTCCATAGCCAAAACGGTGCATGGTAATAGATATGTTTTTGTCGCTCGAATCGCGGGTATGACGGCACAGGCTGTACGCGTTTATGTAAATTCCAATCCAATATATTGGCCCACCGCCGACGTATAGCATATTTTTGTTATTCGGCAGCAAAACACCGCGATACAGAGACAGCACTTTGATTTCAAGCTCGCAAGATGGACTTCCGCGACGTTTCAGTTTGGCAAAAAGCTAAAAGCGTTCGCTTTTGATAAAGTGGCGTGCAATAAATAGATAGATAGATATCGATGTAATTGCGGCACCGCTAAGGGTAAAAGTCTAAAGAATCTCGCATTCTCTGTTTGAAGGTATTAGTTTGGTCGACCGCCAAGAGAAAAGTTGAAACTCTATCGACGTGGTTGGAAGTTATATTAATTGCAATGACAGCTCGCGGACTCTCCACGATGACCTCGTAACTCGATACCACGTCGTCGTTTAGTAAGCACGAAGTGTATGAACCAGTTAAAGAAACCCGTAATTACAATGTAAAGAATTGTTGTTCGAAGAGTTTACGAGGAGAGAATATTTAAGGTGTGAAAATGAAAAATTTCACAACGTAACAGATGAATCATGCCACATAAATTTCTGAAACATTAATTGATGAACTCACATTGATGCCAAGATCGTGCGAGATAAATTAATAATCGAGAGTTTGGTTTTAGATAAAAAGCTTAAAAAAAGTTGGAGGAGAAAGAAAAGATTGTTTATTATTGATAAATCATCTGGTCTGTCACAAAACTTTACTCAAGAGTTTCTTAAAAGATCGTTGACAAATTAACCTACACGTACACACATATCGCCACGCACAAGTTGCCAGACCATAGGCCATACAAATATACAATGGATAATCTTGAAAATCTCCGTCGAACATCCGATCAGCCGGCTATCTCAGTATTTGTTAATATCCCGCATATTACTCGCCGCCGAGTGGAATTTATAAATCCACCAGTGAGAAATTAAATAGAGTCGCGCGCTTAAAAGCGTGTTTGGCGATGTTGACCTACTCTTAAAATAAAACGGCGATCCGATATATACGTCCGGGTAGAAAATTAAGTGGAAACCAATCGTAACCGTTGAATCGGAAACTGTCTCCCGCGATGGAGAGCGTTTTTACAGTAAATTTTTTCCTCGTGGCAATCGCACAAAATTAATTCATTAAAATTGAATGCTCCAGAGACGCATTTCGTTAAAATTCCTTTCATCCGTTATCCGGCAAAGGCCGCCTACGGTCACCCCGGTTGTTCTTTGATCCTCGCGAAATACGTGCATATCGAGATTTATCTTTTAATCAAGGTAAAAGTTATAGCTATATTATAAATGATGCAACGGCCCCGTGTCTGTCGAATATATCTCAATGCAAAGAGACGAGATGATTAAACGGCAATGGGCGACATTAGAACATTTATTCGTGCTCGAGATCAAAGCGCGAGACGTTCGCACGGAGAGACAAACGAGAGACATGTCGCGCTCACGTGTACACACATAAAAACGCATCCCAATGTTTAATCAACTGAGTTCGACCGAACGAAGCTCCGACGGAAGAAATCCAGGAGTGTTCGAGACGCACCTGCAAAATCCACACGGATCATCGGATCACTCGAACCACGTCGCGGAAAGAGGACACACTGTGGGAGGTGTAGGTCCTCCGAGAGCAATAGCTCTCCTCCCTTATCACGGATTAGCTCGTTGCACTCTCTCTTTCTCTCTCTCTCTCTCCCTCCCTCCCTCTCGACGTTGCCGACGTTCCCTCCGAAGGAGCAGCCGAGACACGGAGAAAACGCTTGGTGCCACGTTCAACTACTTCCGCGGGTAATTCCCGAGGTGGTGGTTCGCCACCGTCGCTGTCGCTGACGCGGTCGCAAGCGGCGGATCGCGCCTCTTTAATCCCATCGTTCGGTCGCACTTTCAGCCGTCTGTCACACACGGTTGCAGCAGATGTGCACCGGATTGCAGCGCGATTCGTGTGTGTCGCCCTCTCTTTCTCTCTTTCTCACCCTCGACGACTCGACGGAAGGGCGCGTCGTACGAAAACTACCCCGCTCTCGGGGCGAGCAGCGCGCAAGGAGCGGACGCAGGGGGTTTCCCCAGTGGGAACGAGAAGAGTACACGAAGAGGGCGGTGAGTAAGAGAGAGAGGAAGAGAGGAAGAGAGGCGCACGCAAAGTGGGAGGGGGGGGGGCTAAACCGCTACGCGGGAGCAACGTGCAGGATAGTGGGGTAGATCCTATCACTGCGCGAATAGCCGTGCTCGAATGCGTGTTGCCGGTTTCGATGTGTCGCGGCTCCTTTTACGCCGGGATTCCCTTGGCAGCTCGGTCCTGGGGGAGAATCACCTTAGATCAACCCGGGGCGAACGACGGACGGTGGAGGCAGGGAAGAGTCGTCGCTAATGTTGACGGAGACAACGATACGCGAAGGCGGACACCTTAAGCCCTCAAACTGTCGCGGCACCACGATCGATTGTTTGCGGTGCTGGACAATGTTCCCGGATCAAACCGACGTCCTGCGGTATACCGCGTCCCGAAAGGAAGAGAGAGAGAGAGAGAGAGAGACAGACCCTTCCCGCGAGCGAGTTAGGTTAACTGATCGTATGACGGGCGAGATACGAGCATCGGGTTCCGCGGCGCCCGGTTATCGATAACTGCCGGTTATCGAAGAGGAGGATCGAGCCAACCTACTTTCTCTTATCTCGTACGCGATCGCGACGCTGCGGACGCGGCTGACGTCGTCGTCGTCCTTCTCTCACGTCTCGCCCGCGGGAATCTGCGCATCCCGTTCGAATTCATTGCCACGAGGTAGGCGAGGTCGAAGGCGAGGAAATCTCGGATTCGCCGTGACGCCGCGAAAGGGCGAACGTAAAGCGCGGAGGTCCGAAGGAGGGGTCCGACACGGTCGGATTAAGCGATTCGACTTCTGACCGGAATGCCTTATCCCCGCGAGATCTCGGAGGAGTCGAGACAGACTTTCGCCGCGAGATCCTCGACTGTCGTTTCGACCAGTGGTGAAGACCTGAAATTCTCCGCGGTATTGTTTGACCCTGTGTTTCCACCTGCGCGTTCCGGGATCCACCCTCGGCCTGCACCGTTCATAATCCGCCCCTGAGGGTAAGTAGTCGAGGACGCCGGGGATGGCCGGCGTCGCCGTCGGGCTCGCGCAGAAGCCGCTCGATAAAGGCGCCCCTACCCTTTGGCCCCTCCTGGCCACCCCCTGGCCCCTACCCCTCGACCCTGCCCCACAAACCGGAAATCTAGTGTAGTAGGACTCGCATACGGGCTACTGGGCTACGCTTGTGTCATAAACGGCGAATGCCGTTCGGCTACAGGCTGCGAGACCACGCGATCATCCTTGAATGGGCGCTCGTATCCGCCGAGCAGAGCGCCTTCTTCCCGCTCTTTTCTCACTCGCCTCGCCCGCACGTCGCTGCAGCGTGGCCACACGGCTCGTGAAAAGTCGCATGAACAGGTAGATAAGAGGATCGCAGAGGTAATAAAACGTCGATATCTCGACAATGGCATTATATCGTCCGCGAGAAAGAGAGAGAGAGAGAGAGAGAGAAAGAAAATGGTCCATGTCTTCATTACCGATTTCATGTGTGTGCCTTCCACTCCTTTAAAAATCGCTGGAATGAAATATATTCGTCTCGTTTTACAACGCGTTTGGTACGTTCCTTTCGATAATAACGAGGATACTCCCCGAAGCCTCGTAATTATTATTATTATTTATTTAATAAACGGGAAATTAAATATTCCCTTTGGTACAGAAATACACAGGTGATAACACCTGTACGCGTATGTATTGTATAAAATAAAGTACGTGCCATATAAATATGGATGATAACCTTACAAACATATGTCAAATACAATGTGGGTCACACAACGGTAACGATATCGTATAATTTGCTCGCCATGGTAATTTTATCTCGTCAATGCGCTCCTGTAAAATGTTACCCACTCGACGACTGAATGAGGAAGGATAGCATCGTGTTAGTGTGTTTCGAGTGACACTAGCGGCAATATACTCTTTGCCCTCATCGTAGGCCCTTACTCGGTGCTACTACAGGTACGAAGACCCACTTTGCCATGCTAGAACAAGCGCAACTCGAAAGACTTGGATTTTTAGGGATCCGCTTCTCTCCTCTTATCCCAGCATGAAATTCATCCGATCTCTCTACGGGCCGAAGTACAAAAATATTATACGTGATTGCTAACGTAAAAAGAAATGGTCGCAGTGCTTAATTATCTATGTTAATTTTATGGTTATTTATTATGGTTACGATTAACATTGGATTATCAAGCTTTCTTTGAAAAAGAAAAAAAACGTACAAGTTTCAAATAATATAAACATATATGTACACATCTTATATTTTACTTGACTATATATAAAAAATGCGGATAACCTTGCTTGTGCGAGTTTATTTCTGTCTTTTTAATATCAGTTTTCATTCCTAAAACTATATTTCCCCGCATATCTTGGAAAATAATTAACTTTTATTTTTCATTCTTATGGTTTTCCACATAAATATGTACGCCTCCAACTATGAAGTTCTTTAAATCTGAATTTCAAATTAATCCACTCTCGAGTGATTCTTTAAACGGAAGGAGAGTGCGGAATATATTTCTGTACGATCAGATAAAAATTATTTATATTTTTGTCTCTCTCGAAATCGCGCACAGCAAATTAGACGCCGTGTATGTGTGTGTGTCATACTGTTCAAGCTAATAATATAATGTCATATATGCGCATATTATACGTCATCTCTTAAAATATATGTGGGAACGATTACATCGACGAACATCGCTCTAAAATTATTCTCCTCTTACGTAGAAGATTCACTATAAATGTAAAGAATAAGGGAAAGCTAGGTCGTTATTTATAATAATTTTCAACATGCGTGCAATTACACCGATACATATGTCTAATAACAAATAATACGTCTTGCATTTTAGTAATTAATCGCTATTAATACTTCGGTTCTGTACATCAAGATTCATCGACGATATCCGGTCTCCCGTCAATCGCTTTTATCCGTGATGTTGATGTGAGGATAGGATAAATATTTGCGATATCAATACGAAAGCGGGAGTGAGCAGCGTCGTCTCATCTTATATGGTCCCCGTCTTTGGCTTTTAGCGCGAAAGTGCCCGTCGCCGGTTTACTGTTGTTTCAATTTCTTCTCAACGGCGGAAGTACCCTTCTCGTCGGGAACATAACAGGTCAGAACCAAGCCGAGAAGTACCAAGGAAGTGCCGCACCACCAAGCCAACGACGTCGATTCGCCAAAGACGACGAAACCTACGAGAGCCTTCGAACGAAAAGCGGGAAATATTTAGTTAACGTTCCTTACGATGACTTTATGATTTTACGACTGATTGATGAGAGTCCACGAAGCCTCTCTTCGCAAAGTCTTCCGATATTCTTGCATCACAGGACCGCTTGGGAGAGACCGCAATGAAAGAAACGTAAGATATCGGAGATCGATGAGCACGTTATTCGCGAGCCACGTGTTTGGCACACCTAACATACATACACGCAGTATCGCGATATACTCGCGACGGATTTATAACCGCACTCTTATTTTCCGAAGGATGCCAGTCGGTGACACTCTTAACTTAAAGCGCCTATACGTCGCGCACCGAAACTTAATCTCGTGAATGTTTAACTTGTCGCGCCGACAATCGATATATACGGCATATCGTTTCAGCGACGCGCGCGAACACGTGTGGGAATTGAACGCGATTTCCGCGAAGAATTGCGAAACAATGTCATTACAGAGCGCAATAAAATTACATAAAACATTCACGTCGGATTACGCTTAATTAACGAGACACCACGTCTCTCTTCCTGAATAAGGGTATCAATATTTGCTGCATAAATGCAAAATAATATTCGTTCTCACGGTGCACTCAGAGAGAGAGAGAGAGAGAGAGAGAATGAGAATATCGTTGAAACGCCGGCATGAATATATAATATTACTATTTGTCGTTTTATAATTCCGATACGCGCGCTTCCTCGCGCACAATGTAACAGCCATCGAGATTGCCTTTCAATAGTACATGCATCATATCGTTCTCGTTCAATCGCCACGTAACTTGTCTACATATAATTGCTATGACCGCATTGTGCATGTTCGCGGAATTGCGTCTAGTTTGCCAAACAACTTTCACTCTTTGCGAGCCGACGCACGGAAATGTATATTAGTCCCGCCGTAGAGCGTAGACGAATAGACGTAGTTGGCATGAATATATCTCGTCGTCTCGCGTATTCTCAGAGGGACGGGTTTTCCGAGACGGCGGCGACGGTGGTTTCGAGAATCCGACCGATTCGCCCGACTCGATGAAGGGGAGATCCGGTACTCTCGTAAGATTAATTATGATCATTTAACAACTCACCGAACAAACATAATTCGTCGCTGCACTGGCGACCGTCACCGGCAATGAGGATCCGCTGCCGTGAAGTGCTTTGACAAAAAACGTACATCCCACGGTGTTGGACGTGATCATAAGAACCAGAAGCGCTCCTTTGAGCAACAAGGACAGCTTCGGCAAAAAGAGAAATATAACTCGCTCATTTAATGCGACATGAATCTATCTTGTATTGAAACGAGCAAACAATTTACGCTACGTTTACCGTACGCTACGTAAATCATGCTCAAATACACCGTGTTAACGCGTATCGATAAAAAAGAAAAGGATAAAACGAGCAACGGTTTAAAGGTCTCGCCTTACGGCTTTTGTGGCGGATTGTTTACGAATGTTTTCGATGAAAATTACACGATAATACGGTGTAAGCGTTCTCCGTTGCATCGACCGTGCGCAAAATCGTATTAATTACTTAAGTTAATCCGCATTAAGAATCGAGTTGATTAATTATTGAAACAATTTAATTCAATTTAATCGATGATGTGTTCTGCGAACCTCTTTCCGTGCAATTAAATAAAATCCGGTTGAAAAAAATCAAGTGGAAATCCATATAGGGAATCCATATGGGATTTCATGATTGCCCGTGGCAGGATTTGCGCAAAAAACTCAGGACCTGGATAATAATTCCCGTCAAAAAATATTTCATACATGATCATGTATAACTCTATACAACTATTTCATAATCATACTAAATTATATATGAAATCTGTCAATGCATAATTATTTAATACTAATCATACATAATTATGTATGATTAATATTGTGCGTTTTGATGTTATAAAAAACTTTTGACCATTTGTTTTACGTTGAAACTTAAAGACAGACACTCGCTTTCTTGCATGCATAGAGGAGAAAAATTGCACAATAGTGATCTGTGTGTTTGAAATTGTCAACAAGGAAATATAAACCGCATTCGGAGGCGCATTATAATGTAGTTCGTTGCGCCCACGCTTCGTTTCAGTTTCTCTCAATTTTTTTTCCCCATGAAACTCGAGAAAAACGCGTTAACCTATTTACCGTACCAATGATACGATTCGATGCCGCTGCTTTATTCGCGAGATCTCTCCTCGCGAGTGCGGCCATGTGGCCACGAGGCAGCGCAACAATGGTGCGCCCGATTGCGCATAAAACGCCGCTCGAGAGAGCGTTAATCTCGAGGTTACGCGATTGCGAAAAGCAATGCGCACGGCCGCCGATAACGGTTATGAATTCTGCGTGTGAAGAAAACGGGAGAGAGATCATGGAGGTTCCGCGGCCAGCCTGTTCACGCTGCCGACTTTCACCGGCGCGAGCGGATTCAAATTTTACCGCCAACTCACCAGCGACGATGCGTCAGCGCCACCGGCGAGCTTGCCCAAGAGACTGCCGGTGGTCGCAAAAACGCCCGACGCGACCGCGAGATGTGCCCCGCCAACACAATCTCGGGGCCCCTCCATATCGGCGGATAACCGAGGATAATCCGGAGACGAGAGATGAGCCCAAGGCCGCTCGAGCGAGGGAAACACGTGGCGAAGCGTCGTGGGGGGAAGCACCGCGATAAAACACTGGCTTTGCCGGCGGACTCTTATCTGCTCGCGCCGGATTAAGAGCGAGGTGATGACGCGAGGATTGATATCGAGCGCGATCACATACTACCAATAATAGATCCGTGAATTCAAGCTCGCGCACGCTAGCGTTTTTCCTCCACCGTTCACACATACACACACACACACGCTTCGTCTATCCAGACGTGTTAACGCACACTCGTGTCGTTCGCCGATGGACGGAGGCGTCTCTGTATAGTGTAGCGAAGGAGAAAGAACGTTTAGCATGCGTGGGCTCGAAATCGCAACATTGCATGAATGACGAATGAAAATTGCAGGAATGAGTCACCGTGCAGAAGCGCGCATCGCGGACGCGATGACGGACGCGCGTTTCCGCAGCGTTCTCGGGCGACTCGTAATTTGACAGAAACTAATTACGCGGACGCGCATAGCATGTCGAGTTCAAGTACGGAGGACAAGAGAGCGCGCGGTGAAGCCTCGTCTACAATGCGGTCGTGCAGGTGAGATCCACTTCGCGCTGCAGATCCTTCGAAGCACCGTGCAGACCAATCATATTCTTCCGAAAGTGCTCCCAGCTTCAAGTGAACCCCGTCCACTCCCCTGCGAGGGCGTTGTAGACGAGGCTTGAGTATTCACAGTCGCAAGGAAGGAGGAAGAAATGTGTCGGGAAACGCTCCGCGTTCCGGGATCCTCAAGTACCGTCTCGCGCGCCGATCAGCTGGTCGGCGATCGGGAATTCCGAGCGCGAGGTCGCGCGCTCGGCGTAAACGGGAAGAGGGAGAGCCTTATCGACCGGCTGGATGCAGAGCGGTTACGCAATCGATTTGATTCGCAGCCAGCGAATGCGATCGTCGCGACGGGCGAGACGGAAGCGCGGCGCGTCGCGCGATCCAGCGCGCGCTCGTTCCTGCCCGACGCCGTCGTCGATCGGTCGGCCGGCTGAACGGTGAACGGTAGTGCCAGGTCGCGGACAGACGGAGCAAGGCGTGCGCGTGCGCGGGCGCGATCTCTCGCAGGTAGTTTAAAAATGGCGGCCGACAGGTAGACGTTTCCGCGGCTTGCACGCGCTGGCAAGCACGAGGAACGCGAGCGAGTTCTCGCCACCGAGAGGTGGCCCGCGCACCGTATCTCGTGAGACGCGTGAGCGCGCGCGCGCCCACGCACGCGGCCCGTCGCAACACACGGTCGCGCGCGCGGCCGATTATGCCGTGTTATCCTCCCTGATGGACAGGCGCGGAAACCGCGAAGTGAATGAATCGCCGACGTCGTCGCGCGTCCGAGAGTCCGCGTCGTCGTCGCCGCCGCCGCCGCTCGTTACATTCCGCTTTCGCACGATCGCGAGCGCGGAGGGAAAAGGGGGAGAAGGAAAGCGGACCACCGTCGCCTTCGCCGCCGCATGTCTAGCCGCGCGCTCGCATACGTAAGTAAAAACTCGTCGATTTTCGGCCGTCTCGCCGATTTCCATCTCTCTTCCTTTCCGCCGGCACCCGCGAACGCCTGCCCGACGCGAGAGAGCGAGATCCTGCGCGATACACGCCGAGTCCTGTGGCCTTGAACGAGCGATGGCTTCTCGGTACCTCGCCAGCAGGCGATGTAATTGGCAGGAAGTAAAATACATCCGCTCGGCGGCGGCGATACGTTGTTGTTTCGCTGTGGGATATTGTGTCGTCGATTGCGTGCGCGTTCTTTGATCGTTCCTGTGCGATGAGGCTCGCACGAGGTGCTGCGCGTCGAACGAATTCCCGTGAGAACGCGCGGATTATTATGCTATCGACCAATTTTCCATGGTGATTGTGTGCAAAGTAACGCGCGAGCTGGGCGCTCGGCCCCGGTTAATAATTAGCGAGTACTTCCCGTGTGCCTTTTACGGTTGGATTTTGTGTTACTAGGTTGCCGTAGGACTTAATGAAATGGCAGTGAATTGTGTTGGGAGTTAAAAGGATCGTCGAGTTGATGAATTAACTAAATTTTCTCGTCGCTCGTGCTCTTCTCTTTTATTATTCTTGCCCGTCGTATTATTTTTTTTTCTTTCTTCTCTTTCGGGAAGAATAAGCCTGATACATTTGTTGGGTGAGTAATAAACGATGCTTGTTTTTTACATATTATCTCCGGGACATAAAACTTACCTTGTCAAGGTAAGGTTGGAGTGTCTAAATATGTACATTCTTGGTGGCACCCAATGACGTAGTGTATTACTTGTTAAGATTAAGGGTAGAGTCTACTATGTATACAGTCTGTGCTGTGGATATATATATAGTCTATGTACGTGTTTAACGCGAAGATCTTATATATCAGCCAGAGTGAAGATACCTAATTTAGCTGCATTTCAGAATAAAATGTATGGTGTACTACATCTAATTACGGAGAGTGTGTGCTAATATTATAGTTTGATTTTTTTGCAGTTGACATATTTATTTCTTCTTGTAAATTTATACATCATCTGCTGGATGTATCACATTTTTCCAAGAGAACCTTTAATCACCTTTAATCTTCATGGCTAATTACAGTTGAATACCGTATCTATTTATAAATGTGTCTCTTTGAAATTACCGAGTGTAAATTTATCCTTTTTACTCTTTCCAACGGGGAATATTCTATAAAAAAAACTCTCTACTCTCTGTAAACACTCTTAAAAAAGAAACACACACCAGCATCAAGTCAATGTTACTATTCATGGAGAGTTTTATGTCAGCGTGTGTAGAAACATTTGTGCAAATATTGTGCGTTTACTTACCTAAGTGCTTGATAAGTTTGTTGGAGCACCAGGTTAAAATATGCTATCATTCCTGTCAGATAACTGAGGAGAGATCAGTTGTGTCGCGCATGAATTGTTGAAATAAGTGAAAATCCTAATTATACCAGTATGACATCCAGTGTTTATCAGAAAAGTGTTTATCAAAAAATCTTGAATTATCTGAGAATGAGATCGTGGCTCTGTAAGCGTAAAGGTAATGCTGTTGGCTTCGTATTATTCTTTCACGGCACAATTTTGCAGTCTTTATAATGTGTGATCGTTTACTTAAACATGTCCAAATGTGTCCCGTGAAGGCCTTACCCGATATATTAATTGTGAATATTTATTACGCATTTATACATCTATTCTGGAACAAATTACTTCGTTTCTCTGATACAGTTATAAGAAAGACCTGTTGTATATGTGCGCACACATATGTATTTAGCAGGAATATGGGTTGTGTCAGTGGTGATGGTTTGTTTCCTCCTTTTTGTGTACAGGTAAATATACCTGCAAAAATTACAAGCATTTAACAATGGAACACTCGGAGTTAGTAGCAGAAATGGTACACGTCGAAAGACTGACGACACAGGAGCGGTTGCATTTAGCACGTCACCGTAGACTTCAACAATTAAAAGTATGGAGGCAACGTGAAAAAGAATGGTTGCGGCACCAAACCAGGCATACGAGTAACAAACGTCACATATACTTTAGTGATAGTGTTATGTTATTGGAAGCAGCTGCGAGAAACGATATCGATGAAGGTAAGAAAAAAGAAAAATAACGCGTATTACTTAAAGCGTATTGCTTAAAGCTTGTGTGCCCGTCAATCGGCATTGCATCATCGACATTTATTCCGTTTTTTTCTTTTCTTTCAGTAAGACGGCTCCTGAAGAAAGGTGTAAATCCAGACTCGACGAACGAAGATGGCTTAACAGCATTGCACCAATGTTGCATAGATGACAACGAAGAGATGATGAAGTTACTCATTGAATTCGGTGCTAATGTGAATGCGGAAGATAGCGAGAAGTGGACGCCGTTACACGCCGCCGCTACGTGTGGCCACTTACATCTAGTTAAATACCTTATCGCCAGGGGTGCGAATTTATTGGCTGTTAATGCGGACGGCAACATGCCGTATGACATTTGCGAGGATGAAAAAACACTGGATTGCATTGAAGGTAAAGAGAAAGCTTCGTTTCGGGGTTCTTCACATTATCTAGAATATGATGCGTTTATTAATTACACAAGCGCTGTAATTATATAAGTCGTATTCTCATAACACAGGAGAAATGGCGAGGCGAGGAGTTACCCAAGAATTAATAGATGAAACGAGAGCATCGACTGAGGTTCAAATGTTGCGAGATTTACAAAAGATCGCTTCCTTGGGGGGAGATCTTGAATACAAGGACCATCAAGGCGCCACGCCTGTCCGTATCTTTATTTCTACACAGATTTGTATAATACTTAAGACGCGTAGCTGAACCACTATTTTTATCGCAGCTCCACATTGCATCAGCGAATGGTTACCTGAGAGTCGTGGAATTTCTTCTCGATCAACATGTATCGACGGATGTCGAAGACAACGACAAGTGGCAACCGGTTCACGCAGCTGCATGTTGGGGACACGTAAGTTTCGATCCAATTTATTCTCATTCGTGACATATTTATCTGGCATATTTATGCATTTTTTCTTTGCAACATTATAGCTGGAAGTACTCGAACTATTGGTACAAAATGGAGCTGATCTAAACGCGAAGAATAAACACGACGAGACTCCTGCAGGTAGGATTCACCGGGTCATTTCGATATACGTATATTAATCCTACTTTTCTTCACATCTGCAATTGCACTCTGCCGCCGTAGACATATGTGAAGACCCGGAAATCAGGGAGAGGATAATGGAACTGAAAACGGAACAAGAGAGTAAACGACTTCGCGAAGCACAAGGACGACGGGTACGCAGGTCGCAGAGCATAAATACGCGGACGCAAAGTGTACGTCGGACATCCATTCGGGACAAGGTTCTCACTACGAAGAAAGATGCTCAGGAAGAGGCTCGGTTAAGGTTACAGGCGCAACAGGTACGACGAACTTAAACGCGCCTAAAGATACTCGAAGTATTTCCCGCTTTTCCCAGATGTAATGTAAATTAATGCTAAAGGTCGGCTCTACTGCATAATCGTATGCTAATCGCAGCGAGATGTATTTCAGACGTACGTTAGCGCTCCCACGCCTAGTATCCCACCATTGGAGAATAGTACGCAAGAAGTAGGGGACCACGAGACTGATTCTAGCGCACTGACGCCAGCGGTGCGAAAAGGCCCCGAAGGAAAAGACAACGAGTCTTTCCTTCACGAAGATGTTGATAAAGATTCAGGTACATTCCAAATGTATTCTTGCTTGCATTGGTTGTGGTTCGGTAGAATACTGTGGTTAATGGTAGCTTTTGTGCAAAATGACGTCAGAAAGTATATATACCTCTCGATCGTGAGATTCCAAAGTTGCCCGTATATATCTACACGCGTGCATATATACGTGTATATCACATGCTGAGGCATAGTCCATAATAGCCGAAGTTACGAGTGTGTTTAATATCCGAGCATATGATTTGACCGAAGAATGTACATAATAATATTCCTATAAGTTGTGCGTTCGTTGAACATAAACGGAGAATTATCACCCCCGGAAAGAAGAGAGAAAGTAATAGTGATTATAGAAATATATCTCGTCTCTGTACGTAAATATACCGTGCCGCGTACACGCGCACGCCTGTGTGAGAGAGAAAGAGAAACAAGCTCGGAGGAGAAACGGTCTTTTTTATATTTTTATACGCTGACAGGCAAAATTTTATACACACCGATGAGAGAGAATAAATGGGAAGTAATCCCGGAGAATCGAACAATCCCGACTGTATAGACTATATTGATATATCTATCAATTTGCAAAACGATCGATCCCCATGAATGTACACCGTTGAACTCACTGTGTTAGCTGTTGATTATTTACCAGCTTTTTCTTTCTTTTCACTACTGCGTGCTCCTGAATAATTGCGAGGTTAGTTTTCTACGTCACTTTCCTATTTCTTTAATTATTACATTTCACGATTTGTAACGATGCATTCGATTACGTTACCCTTTTTGTATTCATACACACGTCACGATGCAAACTCTGCCGAAAGTTACTCGCTCATAGTGTATGTACCAAAAGTATCTACATGTGCTGCGCATATACGATGCATTTTTCTCTCTAAAAATGTTCTAACACATATTGAAACACACACACACACAAAAGTATATACTCACGCTTTATTCCACAACACACACACACACACACACACACACACACACACACACACACACACACACACACACACACACACACACACATATACATACACTGAGTCTTTTTGGCAAGGCCTAAGTGGTTAACTAGCTTCTTGAGCGCATCATCATCGCGTGGCTCGCGCGTTAGCAAAGCTTAGCGGCCACATTAAGCGCAATACAGAATAAATAATCAAATGGACGATATCCACTATAGGTATGTCGAGATGTTTCCGTACTTTCTTACGAAAACTGGAGTCCAGGCGATTTAGAGAACTGTATACACGCCACATTAGTAGGGCACATGATAAGTAGAATTGATGACAGATATTCTACACTCTTTATACACATATTGTGCCACATGTGCAAGTTTTTTTTTTTCTTCTTTAGAATAAGTACATACTTAGAAGACTGTTACTGTTTGGCAAACTTTTGCCGGATAATGCGCTCGTAGTGCAACGGGCGGATTCTGAGCCTAAAAAAAGCATGGATTGATCTGAAATTGATCACAGTTATATATTGAATTCTTATGTACTACTCGTCAGAGCAAATTCTACATCTAGTATGGGAAACCGTTAGTGAATTTTCCGCTAATCTATACAGCGAATGCTTTATATCCATTTTATCATTACTCGAGTGCGCGTGACAAAGGAGTCACTCCGCGCTCCATTATCCGAAGTAGTCAATTTGAACAATAAAGGAAAACATATCAGATATAGTGTTGACAAGCCATTGGTGGTGGATAAATCTCCAACGGACCTTTGCCATTCTACTTCCACTTCCACTGGACGGTATCGCCGCTCTAGATGAATTGTCCTGGAATTATCTCAGCATTCCTTATTTAATACCAATGACAGATTGATCACCAATGTCTCGCCTACATAACACGTAACGCGCAAGTATAGTCGGACCGACCGTCTGTAGTTCATACTTTGAACCGAATAGTCTATACTATTGAAAGGAAGAAATTCCATCGTAGTTAAAATGCGAAAACGCACAGATATATCGTAGTCGTTGAACAGCTGTTCCTGTTCTCTGTAACGTAACGGCCGTGTGTTTACCGTTCTCTCTTTTCTCTCTTTCTCTTCCCACCCCCTCCCCCTGTTCTCTCTTTTTTCTCTTCTCTTCTCTCTCTCTCTCTCTCTCTCTCTCTCTCTTTTCTCTTTCTCCTGGCTCCTGTTTCTCTATATACATATATATATATATATATACACACATATTCATTGATTTTACTTGCGTGAAACGCAGTTACTGGATATCGTTTAGCGACACATTGTGTATGTACAGCGATGTGCGTATGATGGTCCTTCTTCGTGCAATGTTTCTTCGTTCAATGTTTGACGCTTGTTGTTGAGAAAAACGCATGTCAGGCTTGGCGCATGAGTCTCTCAATAGCTGACACCCTCGTTCTTTTTTTTCTTTTAACTGTGATCGGTGCATAGGAATAGAGAGAGGGGATGTGGTTAAGGTGGCGGGGCGGAAAAGGGGCGGCGATAATCGTCGATCGAAAAGTCGGCGCTCTTGACCGGGGTGAAGTAGCACATTGGATTTACGTGTTTGCCTGACAGCAGTGACAGGGCCTGACTCAGCCACGGTCGGCGGCCAGCAACCGGCGCCGATTTACGCGGCCGATACCGGCGATAACAACGGCAAGATCAACATTCACGTGTCCGTTGTTTTCGTCAAATCCTTGTCAGATCTGAAGAAGCAGCGGGCGCAGAATCGGCACATATCCGGTGGCTCCCTAGACGCTAACGGGAATGGTATACCGATGCCGGTCTCGTCCATCTCCAATTCCGACCTCAGCACCGATGACTTTCAACGTTTCACCGGGAACACTAGCGAAATCGTGGGCGATAATCACTCGGAGAAGAGCTGCTGTACCGTCATGTAACATATGGGCTTTCACAACGACGACGACGACGGCGACGACGACCGACGACGACGACGACAGCAACAGCAACAATTTTGTGTCCTGCCGTTAGAAATTATAGTTAGGAATCCTTGCGAATACATGAAAGGAATCCGTTAGGAATCCTTGCGAATACATGAAAGTGTGTTCCTGCTATTAAGCCCCGCGCCGTGTTTCACGGAGAAACTCTCAATCGCTCGTGTTCTTAAATTTCACGCAATCTCGCGATCTTTTCTTCTATATTGCGTTTCATTGGCGATATACGCGCATTACTAATGGATATCCGCGGCGATGCGTATTGATGAGTTACTCTCACGGAGCAGGAAATAGGAGAATCAGCTTTAAAATCAAAACAGCTATCGTTTTGATAGTGCGATATCGAACGGCGTGTACTTAAAACTGCAATTAAGAGAAAGATAGAGAGAAAGAGAGAGAGAGAGAGAGAGAGAGAGATCTGCGCCGCGATTGTTACGCGCGTGCGACTGCGGCGCTCGGATAAATTTAAATTTTATCGTTCCAACAATTGAGAACACCTTAGATAACGTTAATGACGTGAACTTAGAGCGTGTACTTACATTCGCAGAGATATATTTGCATTGTCGAGTTATTTACAAATTTCCCAGCGCCTAAGAATTAAGTATTGTAAAGAGTTTTACCTTAATTTATTGTTACATAAGAGAGAAATGTATAGAAACTACATTTAGCGACTAAGGAATGTGTATTGCATTTTTCGTAGGTACTACCTAGAACTTTCGGATTTTATAGTACGGTATCTCCGCAAAAAGAGAGAAAAAAAAAGAAAAACAAGTATAAGACTTATCAAAACATCTTCCAATGTTTTTTATGAGACTCTAGCTGTAAGGATTAAGTAAAAACTGTTTTTTATATCGATTTAAAAATTATTTGTAAATTTTGATATGTAGTATTTATCTATATTATGACTATATAAACGCAACACATTGGATTCCTTGTTCTGCGTATAAGCGAGCCACACACACATACATACATCACTGATTTACAATTTCGCACCTGTGTTGTGTACGCCTACGGGGAGGCGAGGAGGCGTTTAAGTTTGTTTCAGTCTCGCGTGTCAGATGTTCGAGAGAGAGAGAGAGAGAGAGAAAGAGAGAAATACATACGTATATAATACATATGTGAGCTTTACGCGGAGTAAAGCTCACATATTTCCGTGCGACGATCGAACAATCAAAAATGGGACATACCGGTAACAACATTCTCTCCAATTGCGCGTGTGCGCGCAGGGAAATATGTATAAAGTAACAATATCTCATCCTGCCGAAGCCACCTGCGTACTTTTCGCGCACACCGCCTCGATCAGTCAGTCTCGATCCATCCGAATTATAAATACGCGAGAAAAGCAAGCTTTCAACGGGAACGCATAGTACAAACGAACGCACGTACATCTTTCCACGGCGCACGATGAAACGGCGCGTTGCCAAAAACAAAAAAACAATGGAACCGTGCGCGACTTCCGATCTTACGAGCGCGTTCGCGTGATTCGCAAATTATTCCAGATCTTCCAATACCGCGTTAATCGCACATCTTCGATACAATGCCATACAACCGCGATGTATTACCGATATTTCGATCGATGAACGTAATGTAACACGTGATTGCACATAGCGTGATTGTTCATACTTGATTTCGATGTGAATGCTGCGGCGAAAGTTGATTTGTTTTAAATGGCTGTATTGAAAATAAATTTATGTGACGTCCACCACATGTTTCTTGTATTGTAAAATATAATATAATAACGTTATATAAAATAAAGTCACTCTCTGTATATGTTAATACTACATATATATTACTTGTTACATTGTCCACGAGTCTGTGTGCACGTCCTCGCATCCTCGCACACACAGCGAATTTCTAAAAGATATCCTAAGGACATCTGAGAAAGGCGTCTTATATTTTTTTTAGACATTTTTCATGTGCACAGAAGTTTCTCTTAACCCCGGAGTAGTAGAGAAGATTTCTGTGCACTGAGAAAATCGTACTTCTCGACTGGTTTTATTCAGATTTTTTCCATTTTTCTCAAAGATCGCTCCAAACTTCAACCCCGTTTTGTTTCCCGTTCTTTGCGCGTAACGAATCGAACACAATAGACGACTTGCAGTTTTTCCTGTTTACGTACAGTGTTACAGTACAACATGCTCCTCGCAGGAAATAGCAGGAAAGTCAGTCAGCATTCTCAAAAGCGCGTTTCATCACTGCGATACTTTTGTATCGTTTTAATGCCGTTATCGGGTCAAAACAACCCGCGAGAGCGGACGTAAGTAGATCAGGAATTAAAGTGTAACGACCTTAAATGATCGACTGCGCATGACGACATTCATGATGATGACACATACGATGGCTTTGTGGAAGATTGCATCAGTCGTTTCAATTATGAATTGATTTAATAAAATGCATATAGTCGGGCCTTCTGATGCAACCGCTACATTTTACTCCTCAACCTCACTACTCGCGGCCGCGATTGTTTATTGGCGCTTTGTGTGAAATATTAGCAAGAGAATGCGAGATATCGAACGATGAAATATAAACACTCGAGTGACATTGCATTTCGAATCTCATGTCTATGACTCTGGCGAAAAATTACTTCTGCGACTCGTCTCTGCCATAAGCAGAGACTCTCGATTAGCGCGACGGAAAAGGGGCAGATGCGGTATATAAATGTTTCTGCTAATGATTAATTCTGATAAGTGATCTTTCGATATCCCTTATCTTCTGCAATCCGGCCATGTGTAATGAAAAACGCTACTTATCTCGACACTTGAGACATTATCGTTTGGAGTGTATTTAACATTATCAATGCTCAATTCCGAAGAGATTTCGCTTTACACTTTTTACTCGTGCCGAAGAATTATTTATATCGCAGTAATTACTGCCGAAAATAAATTCCCCCCGCGGAGCGAGACGGCAGACAGCCGTCAAAATCAAAATATTTTTATCGCCGGTAAATATTCGATGACGTTGTTCAATATCGCGCGTCAATTGACGTTAAATTTAATTGATAGTGCGTTTTATTGACATTTCGCGCGCATTACATGTCTCTCTCGTTCGAGATATTCAATATGAAATATTCTCTCTCTCTCTCTCTTTCTCTCTCACTCTTTTCCAGATCTTCGTGACGTAAAGAATGTGAAGGAATCGAATGTATCTGGAAAAAGTGGGAGACCAAGGAGGAACGATTTGACAAAGGATTTAATCCGTTTCACGCTCCAAATGCCTCACCTTGGGTTGAACTATTCGCTCATTATATAATAAACGAGATCGCTCTGTTAGGATGTTTCGAAGCGCCATCGTATTCGAAAAAGAGCGATTTGGTGGGGAGGCTGGGATGGACATAAAAACTGGATGCTACTCGTGGCGTGCGACAATAAGCTTTTCTCCTCTAATACTACGCGAGGACTCCTGAACCTCTCATACTTTGTATCGATAGCAGCGATTGTTGATCTTGTTCAGATCATTCAAGGTAAGCGTACGTTTGCACCTTTTCTGCATCTCCGAAAAAAGATGAATTCGCAAATTCACAAGATCAGAATCTCGTATAACGAAGTACGAAGAATGCTCCTAGTGGCGATTTAAAGGTGTTTCGATTTGGAAAAAATTCTGATGATGCAATATTACACATTAAGGGGAGGTTCTCATCTAGAGGTCTAAAAACACGGTGATTTTCTTGATTTCTTTTGTCATAGAAGGAAGTAAATGAACAACTTGAGTTTTTTGACAGTTATTTATCGACTCTTAAAGTGTAGAAAAATATTTTTTTTGGTGCATAAAGGTGTCATGGGAAGTGTTAATACGTCATCGAACGTCACGTTGAAAAAAAAGGTACCCAAACGGTCTCCATCGCACAGCACGTTTATGTCATGTGAAATGAAAAAAACCCAAAAATTTTATAAATTATATGATATTTATTGGAGCTTGAAGCAATAATATCAATAAAAAGTCGAAAATTACAAAAATGGCGGACATGTGAATTTCTAGTATCGTTTTTTTCACATTTTTCGCTCTTTAAAGTGCTCTGAAAATAAAAAAAAGACGACAAATATCATCCGAATTTCGGTTTAGGATCCAACAAATTTTATTTACTTTAAAATAAAAAAAATCCAAGTCAATCCATCGAGTAGTTCTTGAGATATCGTGGAGCCCAGTTTGAAAAACATGATTGTTCAGAAAACGCGTTTTAATGTGGTAGTACTCGTACTTGACGCCATGCAATTCGCGTTCCTTTCTTATGCGATAACTTTTTCATGCAATCGGCCAAACCGCTTTGGGAACATATTCTACACATCATAAGCTATCGAAAAAAAAAAATTTAAAAAAAACGATTTTTTGGTCGAGTTTCATGAGAACCTCCCCTTAATATTTGAGCACTTTGTGTTCCTTGAGCAATGTTTATTCTGTATATTTATTTATTGTCGAGTCGAGAGATTTTCTGTTTCGACGAGTTTTTAACTCCTTCCCAGACAACACACAATATTTATGAAATATTTTAAAATTATATATATTAAATTTCTTTTTATCGATGTTCAAACATTATGATTTCACTTAAGTAATGTAGTGGATATTTTAAGTGGGACAGGAGAGGTTTCAAAAGAAAACTGACTCAAATCGTAGAACCGAGGAAAAATCGAAGAGAAGCGTTTAATGGTTATTGTTGTGTCTCGTAAGAGACACTTCCAAGCCTCGTCGTATCTCTTCTTATTTGTTGTTATCTCCCTATTTGTTGTTATCTCGTTGTTACGCCGCTCACGTTCTTCACGCTGTTTTTGCACAATTGTTTTTTCCAACCTACGTCGAAACTTATTGATATATTGCTATTGTTATTTTTTTAACATTACGATATGCACACATCTTAACTATTCAGGTAGGTACGGAGGATATGATCAGAGTCTCGCCGTCAATTTCCTTACACACCAGCCCGTTAACAATCACGTACCCAGTTACGCGATTTTCGTCTACCTGCTTCTTAATACGTTGTATTTCTTCGTCTGCTAATTGATTCTGGCGAAGTCTCGCTCGTATACTATCCTAGCATTCTTTTATTAGCACGGCTGCAGGTGAGTGTCGACTTAAGGCGTCTGCATGCCGCATACTGCTTCCAGAGCGATGTACAATTGAGTATCGAAATTCTTCTAGGAGAAACGACCACCGTGCTACTTGTGCACAGATGTCCTCTTTTTTCATAGTCTGGGCTTTACAATCTGTTATTATAGTGAACGGAATTCCGATTAAATATATCCTAAACTTCTTTAATGCCTTTACGACAGCTAGTACTTCGAGTCTATAACTATCATATTTCGCTTCAGTAGGCGTAGTCTTACTACTTGCATAATATATCGGATGAAACCTACAATCTTCGCTATTGCGTTGTAGCAATACTGCACCAAATCCTGAAGCCGGCGCATCAGTGTGCAATTCTGTTTCCGCTGTCGGACAATATAAACACAAGACAGGCTTTCGGCTCAGAGCTACCTTCAGTTGCTCGAACGCCTGTTCCTGTTCTTTCCCGAATTTAAAATCTACTTCGTTTCGTAATAACTCTGTTAACGGTCGCGCTATAAGCGAATATTGAGGTATAAATTTTCGAAAATACCCTGTGAGACCCAAAAAACTTTGTACAGAACGTACGTTCGTCGGCTTCGGCAAATGTTTTACAGCATAAGTCTTTTCGTCTGACGGTGTGATATTTCCGTTTTCTACTACATGTCCTAAATAACACACTTTTGATTTTAACAATTGCCATTTCTACCAGTTAATTAACAACCCGTATTTACTCGCCGTTTCCAATACCAATTTAAGTCGCGATAGTCCGTCTTGTAGGTTTATCGAGGGTACAATCAAGTCGTCCATGTAGATCACGACAATCTTTGCTGCAGTTGATTCTTGAAAAACAGCGTTAATATATTTTTAAAAATACGCCGGAGATGTACTCAGGCTGTAGCCTGGCCGAGGAGGAGCCGGAGGCTCGTGTCCTCTCGTAGGAGAAGGCGACCGAGTTTACAGATTTTTGCTTTCGTGCGCCGTTTGCGCACGAGACATGACCCGCGGCTGTTATATATATATTTTTTTGAGTGTAAGAACACCCCGTGCCAGAACACCGGAGGAAAGGAAGCAGACAGGAAACGGAGCTGCCGGGAGGAGCCAAGGATGTAAGGGAGCAAGGACTCGGAAAGAGCTGTTAGGGCGACACGCGAAAGGACGGATAGGCTGCCCATTCCAGAACGGACGACTAGTGACGAACAGCAGGAATAGTGCAAGGCCCCATGACCTGGTCGCAGGTTATGCGAAGGAGAGAATCCTTTTAAACGGCTGCGAGCCCAACAGTTGCCGAAGATCGGGAAAAACAAAGATAACAAGCGTCAAGATAACAAAAACAAACGCGGAAGGTCGAGGAAAAAAAGGATAAACAAGCGTCAAGATAACAAAAACAGACACGGATGGTCGGGAAAAAAATAAGGATAAACAAGCGTCAAGATAACAAAAATAGACGCGGATACCCTTGATAAGCGTGATCTAGCCGACAGGACCAATCGGAGGCTGCATCGAACGGTGTGATAGATCCTTGCTGCGGCTGTATTTTACGTTACGTGACGAGTCCTACTCATCACTTTGCAGCCCGACAGCGAGCTAGCTAGACGTACGAACGAGTGAGCGAGTGTACGAGCGAACGAGCAAAGCTACCGTGTTCGAAGGACGATATCCGATGGCGAATAGGTGAGCGAGAACTCTGTACGGTTGTGGGTAAAATAAGTAGAGTTGCGAGAGAAGTCCGAGTCGGTTGCCGTCGCTTCCCGACGGCATAGGCGCGATAAGAGGACCGGGAAGTTGAACTCGTTGGAGGTCCGTGGCGCCCGGGAGGCAGGGTCGCACGGACTTGCGAGTTAAGGGCCACGTCGCAGGACGACAAGGACCGTGTTCGAGAGCGTCTCGAGCGTAAGAATCCTGGAGACTCGGTTGCCTTCTCTATTCGCCGGTCGCACAGTCAGCGTAGGATAGAAGTCCTGAATGCATGTATCGAAGCTTACACGGTCGAGAAGTAGAGAAGTTACGTAGAGACTGCTTGCGGCGAACGGGTACGTCGGAAAATACCGAATCGGTCGGAAGCAGAAACTACTGTCGGGAAAGACCCGGCTGGCGGCCAACGGAAAACCCGGCGAGATTCGCGTAACGACGCCGGGCTAGAGAGCTTTTTCGGTTAAAACGACGCGCGTTATTATAGCTGCCGTCAAACGGCTGAGATCCGCCGCCTAAAAATTATATTTCGCGGAACCACGCGAGCGAGTGATCGCGCTCTAGATCTCTCTTACGAGAAGGCGCGAGCCTCCGGCTCCTCCTCGGCTAGGCTACAGCCTGAGTGACGAACGAAAATTTGCATCGTCACGGTAAAAACATGGTTTTAAAAATTCAATTTATGGTTCAAAAAATTGTCTGTAAATTAAAACACGGCTTTACTTAAGTGAAATCATAAAGATCGGTCGTTACGGGATCTCCCGGGGTAGAGAAGTTAGCTGTGTGTCCCTGAAGGACACAGGCTAACTAACGAGCTCTACATCGATGTCACACCGTATCGTCGAGTATCAGTATGGTTAATTGTTGATCTTAAAATTACGTCTAATTAAAGTGTTGTTATTTTTTTTTTAACCGGCCTCTCATTTATTATCTCTCCCGGCTCCCCTCCGACTTGTCCGCGAGTATCGAGGAAGACGTGAAAGAACCACGACGCTCTACCACGCGGAATAGCGAGGAATTCGACTCGCTATAAGATTATTAAAAACTGAGCTAGCTGAGGTGGATCCGCTGCCGCGTAAAGGCGGGAGCGAAGAAGTCCCGCAACCAACGCGGGCGCGAATTGCGGTGGACGTAATATTACGTACAGACGATGTTCTTCGTAAATATTATTGAAGATTTTCACATAATTCTCCTCATACCGTACTTTTCGGGACAGTTAAATGTTTACAAAATATTTAATATCTATGTTTTCTTAAATATTTCATAAATATTAGATACTGTCTAGATAGCGCTGGAATCACTTCTTCTAAATATTCCATTGTTTATGAGTCTAAATCGCTCAACACAGGTTTCAAAGTGACTTTCATCGAACTCTAAGCTAATCAATAAGTAACATAATAAAAATTACCAACACGAATTTTCAGTTCTGTAACTTGTTTCAACAATGATCGAAAAGTTAATAATTTTTGTCTATGTAAAGCCAGCGGCACACGATGCTTGTTTTAGCGAGATAGAACAGACAATGCTTGATTAGCAGCAATTTTAAGCCATCGATTAGATTAGAATCGATATTTAGTGAAAATTGCCCTCAGCCGCTACTGTAATACATCATGTTTTTGTTCTCTTTCAGCGTTCATTTAGATAAACACATATAACGTAAACGTGCGGACGTTGAGTGTCAATCAAAGCGCTCGCTCGGATTATTATCCAGTAAACAAATTGGTCGCAGAACACGCGTAGCGTTAATCAGCAAATTTAATCAGAATCTAATTCCTTCGAATAAACTACTATATGCCAGTCACTTTGATATTAATCAGCAAATTTAATCAGAATCTCAGTCCTGCGAATAAGTCGTTATATGCCAGTCACTTTGATATTAATCGGAAATGAGGGATTAAGTAATTTTTAAGAAGCAAATTATCTGTGAGAGGATCGATTACAGTTATCGCGCGTTCGCCGATAATAAAAATCCCCCGCGATCCCGCTCGATTTCCCGCGGGGGGTCGAAGATCAATTCATCGAATTCATTCAACTTTCTTGCCGCTCGTGCGCCCACCACCGCCGCCGCCGCCATCATCCACTCGCCGCTCAGCGTCGCGAGGAGTGCGCGCTGTCGGCGGTTCCCAGCGATGATTTGCAGCGACGTTGACGCGCACGAAACGGGTTTCCCTCAAACTCGTTTGATCTCATCCAACGTCCTGTCTCCACCTTTTTCCCTTTTCATCGCAGGCCTTCGGTCTGCGGGAAAGCCGGTGGTAACGTTCGTCGAACGATTCGACCTATGCCACAATGGGAATTCCGCAGATCCCGAAAGCGGTTAAACGCGGCTCCGAGTTCGGCGTCCGAGTCGATCAAGTTTGAACGATCCCGCGCTGTTCGGAATGTCGCGATCCTACTACGCCTGTCGCACGATAGCCGCGATGCTGCCCTGCCTGGTGCGAGCCGTCCTGACCAACAACTGTTCCGCCTCGTCGTACCAGTATGGCGCGACGCTCGGCTATTCGGTTTTTAAACGCTACAATGTCTGTCCGTACAGCAAAATGTCGGGACAACTGGAGGTGACGAGCAAGCGGGCGACCTTCGGTATGGGCTGCTTCTGGGCGGGCGATTCTCTCTTCGGGGCGCTGCCCGGGGTTATCAGCACCTGCGTGGGTTACGCCGGCGGCACCACGGAGTCTCCGGTCTATAAAGACATGTACTTTCCTCTTGTTACGATACCGGCGCGTCTCATTCGTATTTATGTGAAAAAAATGTTTAATTAATCGTTTAACTGATGAGTGGGATGTATGGCCGGTAGAAAGCCGATGAGACGATGTAAGATTTGTTCGCATCGGCAGCGTTGTATTTATTTCAATCTTTTGAATCTTTGATCGCCCCATCCAAGCTTTCGAACAGTTAATAGAATTCAGCACAGCACATCTCAAAAACGTGTGCGTGAAATATATTGATGTTGTACTTGATATTTGTACTTTGTTCACTCGCAGGGGAGATCATACGGAGGTCATTGATATTGAGTACAATCCGGAATTAGTGTCCTATTCGCAACTGCTGGGGTTGTTTTGGGATAATCACGAATATGGCATCACGAGTAAGACGAAGAGACAGGTATCTTTTGTTTTGTTTTTCGCATTATTCGTGATTCAACGCATATTATTTCTAGTAACTTAGAGGTGTGGAGATTTAGAGATCATAAGAAACGAATCAGATTTTCGAATTAATGTGATAAAACACTTGAGTGATAACTATATACAATCTGTGTATAATTTGTACACTAAACAGAGTTTAATTTTCAGTACATGTCGTTGGTCTTGTATCACAATGAAGAGCAAAAGTCGTTGGTTGAAAAGTCTCGGGATCTGAAACAACAAGAGGTCGGAAAGGTCATCGTCACGGAGATTCATAAATTTGTCAAGTTTTATCCGGCGGAAAAGTGAGAGGCGTTATCGTTATCATTTTGCGAAAACACACAAATGTTTCCCGTATAATTGCTCAATAGATAGAATTTAATCTCGTCCATTTTAATTAGCTAGCTAATTTTGGCTGTGTGTTTTAACAAGCAGTTCTACGAATAGAAACGAATCAATTACGAAATCGAGCCGAGTCATGAATATTAGATAGAAATCGAATTACGTTGACGGTCAAGTAAACTTAAATACCCACATATTTTCAGCTATCATCAAAAGTATCGACTGCAACAGCACCCGTGGCTGCTCGAGGAAACAGGCCTTACCACGCCAGAAGCTTTACGAACCTCTCCATTAGCAGCTAAACTAAATGGCTACATAGCGGGTGCCAACAGTCTCGAGCAATTCCAAGCGGAGCTACCGCACTTAAAATTGAGCGAGAAAGCAGCGCAATATGTAACGAAATATTTTGTTGAAAATCAAGGCAAGGGTTTGTATTGCTAGTTTCGGGAAACCGCGCAGGAAACACATGGGAAAACGGGAATCTGCACCACTATTGTTAGATGTACTGCGGGAATATTCAATTTTTTAGATAAGAAACAACTTCACGTCCTAATACATACGTAATCTCATTACGTACATGTATGATAACAATACAACTTAACGTTACAAATTGGGTTTAGAAATTTGAACGAGATCCTACGACAATAAACGTTACATGTAATTTTCGGAATAAATATTAGCAACACTTCACTTGAACTTTTGCTTGTTTACAGAGCACTATCGTCGCAAATTGTTATTCTTTCTTAATACTCTGCTACGTAATGTAAAATTGTCCTAGGGTAATTTTTTAATTTTAATTTAATAATGACATTTTGATTTAACAAAGTGGTTGCAACTTAATAAGACTGTTTGAAAATTCGCATGGATATTTTTTCAGAGAAAATTTCGAAATACTGAGTGTTTTTGAATTAAAAATCAATGGGAAAAGATATTCAAACGAACTTTAATACAATATTAATCGAACGTTTTTAATTGCGACAATTAAGATTCTGCATTCTTATGCAGGCAGTGTGTTAAGTTATATATAAATTAACAGAAGTGTTACTATTACAATGCTGAGAGTAATGACTATCGGAACATTCAACGTATTGTTAACAAGGACGATCGCATTGCAATTTATATAATGTACCAAACGGTTGTGAAATATACAAGTGTCCATTCGCAAGTGGCAAAAATTACAGCGACTATTTTTATACACCGATGTGCTAAGTATATTTAAGCCATCTTAGTGTACTTGGGAATCCTCACAAAAGCAGAATATCTTCAGAAAATGTTATTTTAATAATAATTGTTAATACTTCTGGGCGTAAGATAATTTGTACTGCATATAATAAGCATAATAAAGTGATTATATAAATATAATGGTAACATATAATGGTAAACTTATTTTTATTACGGTACCTATAAGTACACCTATAGAGTTTGGACCACTATTTAAAATAATTAAATATTTGAATAATTAAATACCTCAATATTTCTCATCTATTCTTAATTCACTAGAAATAACATTGGTTTCTGAGACCTGTTATTTCTCATCGTGTAACGTTGCAGATTAGTTCCAAAGTTTCCGCTAGAAGTCACTACCGTCTTCAAAGAAGGAACGGATCCGTAGTATGTCTCAACGACAAGTCAGAGATAACTTTAATTTTCAAGTAACACAACTAAACGACTGGTCAGGCTTTCTCGACCTTCAGTGAAACTTAAAATTTTTTATTTTTCCCTAAGGATTAATAGAATCTGGAGGTTTATCACGAAGGTGAAGTGATCCTTTAGTTAAGAAAATATCCCACATCGATTCGTTGCAGCAACTGTCCGGAGATTTGTCGATCTACGCATTGCTCCCTCTGTGACGTAGAAGTAACAACCCAGCCAGCCAGAGAGGGTAGAGACACGGTGTGAGATACTGGATTTTACAACGTGAAAAATGGCATGGTTATGCGCTCGTACCGTGCTTCAAACATGTCGACGGCCGATTTCCTACAGTCTCACGTGTGCCCAGAAAAATTGTAATTAGTTCTTGCAAACCGTATTGTTTCGCCTGCTTTCCGCGACTTTTACGCACTCTTATTACGTAATATTTCCCACTGGTCCTGTCGATTTTTGACTCTAAGCCGCTCACGGTCGATATCTCGCGCACGGGGTAACAGAAAAAAAAATTCCGTCACTTACGCAATTATTCGTTTCTTTCTGCTCGATAGTTGCCGACCCGTTGGATCACGCTACCGGTGTGGACAAGAAGGAGATGCTCGCCAAATTAGCCGGCAACGATGTAAGTGGCGACGTTTCTAGCACGGCTTGTTTGTCGAAACAGTCTGTTCACACAAAAATATGATCTTACCTATAATATGTCAGTGACATAATTCGTTAGCGTATCGCGACGTATTTAGAATACTTTTCTGTCACATTACGAAAGGTATTAACTGTAATAATCTTGCATCCTTGATAAGGCTTTAAATATCAGAGATAAGAAAGCAGTGTTACATGGGAGATGTATTCTTATTTAAATTTTGACGTTCAAATATATTTTATGTACTTCTCATTGAAATGATTATAATAAATATTAGCAATACTTCACTCGAACTTTGTCAAAGGCAATATATTATACCTTCTGTTGACTTGTTTTAGGATCCTTACAACTTGACCATAAAGCGAAGAGCACACAGCACAAAGGAGACTCCCAACGTAGTGTACAGCTCATTCGAGAGCCGTATAATAGGTTGCATTTGCGACGAGGATGCTATGCACGTTAACTGGATGTGGCTGCATCAGGGTGCTCCGCGCCGCTGCGAGTGCGGCCACTGGTTTAAGCTGGTCGAGAAGGCGCCTTTATAATATATTTAAGGATGTGAGATAGTGATATTGTTTTCAACATAGAATTAACTATACGTTAGACCGTAATTGTTATTTTTATTTCATCACCATTATCACCGTTTATCTCCTTGTATCCTGCCCAATGAATAAATGGATTGTCCGTTATGCGCGGAAGCCGTAATGAATAAACATATTTAATGATGTTTCGTTGTTAAACGTATTGTAAATAGTGCTTACTGTTCTGTAAAATATCAAGCTTTTAATTCCATCGATTGAAGTTCACGAGTAAAATTAACTGTTAAGTTCCTGCCTTAAAGATATTGCGCTGATCGAAGGTTGAAAGTATTCCCTGCGAGATTACTCGATGACATTCTCTTTTGCCATCACGTAAGATTCGCGCGACTGAATTACACGCGCGTTACAAAGGGAAATTTGCAATACATTTATTGGTCTCCGTGAAGTTTCGCATAATTTACAATAGATGAAGAGTTTTGCTAAGATCTTTCCCATTTTTTCCCCGCTCGATTTTGTATCGAATTAAAGTACTCGCCAACCTGATTACAAATATATGATGATAAGTCAATGATAATCATCCGCACTTTGCAAAGTTCATCATAAAAACCGTACGAAAATTTACAAATTATTTTATTTCTCAATATAGTTCTACCGATTTCTGATGTATTTAGTCTATATAATATGTCACAAGTTTCTTTATTTCGTTTGAAAAAAAATATACTGCCAACCTGTACAAATTTACAACACAAATATGGGTAATTATTAGCTTACTCTCGTATATGTCTTAAGGTATATTTATCGTTCCAAAAGTTTCGACTATAAATTTTTTAGTACTTGTTACTGGCTGCACAGAATTAAAAGTCCATTTGCACAGTTACAATACACACATCAATATAGGCGAAGACGGGTTGACTTTATTTGAAAAATGAGAAAGTTTTATAATTTGTCGACCTGTGTGTTGTGATTGTGCGAAAGGACTTTTAATTCTGTGCAACCAGTAACAAGTATAGTATTAATAAATTTGCGGTAAAAAAGAACGACTCCAGGATTTTTATGTGTGTTGTGAATATTTTTATCTGATGTCAAAATTGGCTATAAAATCGAGTGGGAAAGAATGGGGAACATTGCTCACGGACATTTGACTGCACTCTTTGTACATCATTTTGCACTACGAACTCGTTCCATTTTAAATCTGCTCACTGGCCTAATGTTCTTCTTTTCTACGGTATTGTCGAAGGATGTCGTTACTTTCTTTTCCTGGATATTTTTTATTACCTACAGGAAAATATACATCTATATTGGTTGTATACAATCATCTATTAGTATATTATAATAAATTAATACTAATTTGTACTCACAAAATCATATGCAGAAGGTTTGACACCACTCGATTCATCTTCTGTATCTGTACTGCTGTCTTCACGTAAAGGAGGTACTGCTTGATTGGAAAACATATCATTGGGAGATCTCTTCAAAATAGGCTTTATGGGTACGCTGAATATTTTATAAATATCCGCTGGACTCTGAATTTCTGTATTATTTGGTTCAGGTATGTTTGGTACATGAGTTGAGTGTAAAAACTCAATTCTGATATCGTCATCGTTATCTTCATTATGCGTGTCATCTTGTTCTACGGAATAATCTTGTTTCACCTCCAATATCGACGGTTTGTCACCTGCATTACTTTGATCGTTCAATTCCACAAACGATACTTTTTTCTTTCGCCTCGTTGTATCTGTTCCATCTGTACTCTTAGATGTATACTCTGATTCAGTTGAACTACTCTCTTTCAACGCCTCTTCAGTAGAATTTACATCAGGTTGTATGCTTTCTGTCGAATTTGTACTTAATGTTTCATCTTGAGTTGCGTCACAAGAGTTCGATATATTTGACGTGTCATTCGTGACTTTATTCGCCTGAATATCTTTCAACCTTTTCAATTCCTCTTGGAGCATCTCTACTGTAATTGGATCCGAGTCAGACTCGTCATCCTCTTCAGACTCATCGTAAACTTCACCCTCTTCCAAATCATCAGCATAAAATTCTTGCCGTTCAGCTTCCAGTCTGCGATCATGTTTTAAGATTAAAATTGATGAACAAGTTACAATTGCGAAACTTTTGTTAGTAAGAATAGATGCAGAAATAACCTGTTCATTTCATCTTCTAGTTCCTCTTCCAACTCCAACTCATCGAGCCTTTTAAAAAGTTCCTCCTCTGTACATGTGTTAGTTTTTTCTTTTTCTTTTAATTCTGACAATTTTTGGCGATATTCCTTCTCATGTTGTCTATGTTGTACTGTAAACAGTCTTAATTTTAGTATCTTACATAACAAAAACAAAAACAGATTTTTTGATGAAGGAATATATAAGCATTGTTTACTTCTCCACTCAGCAAGTTCGTCCTCATCCAAATGTTCAAATATATCTTTCTTGTCCTGTTCACCAAAGACATCATGTTCTGCTGACAGAAGTAGTCTCGCGTCATACAGCATTCTCTCATTTTCTAAACGTCTCAATGTTTCATCTATATCTGATATATAAAATATAACGGCTGTAATATTTAATATGAAACTAATAACAAAAATATATGTATATTATTTATACATGATATTCTTCTGTTGCACAATGCAATCGCTTGTGACGCACTGTACTTTGCAAAGTATCCGTCCCCTAGACAAGCCAAAATCTCATTGGTATGTATTAATTTTCCTTTCATGAATGCTAACTTGCTGATTGGTACCATACACTTCTCTGAGACGGACAATGGAAACTCTCGAAGCCCTTCTATTACCTTTTCAAGCTGCTTCTTCTTATCAATCCATGTGTTAAGTTCTTTCTGATTCAACTCAAGTCTCTGTAACATTGATTTCTAGTTACTATGACATAGATACATAAAGTAATAAAACAATATGAACAAAGGCAGTAGAAATGTGCCAAATCTAATTTACAAATCTATAAAATCGGATACAATACCTCTCTCAGCCAATTGTTCAGCATTTGCTGCTTTTGAATCTGTTCAGATTTCATTGATGCAGCGATAGTTACTGTATTATCCATTTTATGTTTTACGTATGAAAAATCGAAGATCTTTAAAATTTACAAGTAAAATTAAATATCATGATATACAAAACAAACAGCACATGCTTCCGAAAAACATGTACAGTGAAGCACAGTTGCAGGATTCGTTTTGAGCAGTGTCGTGAAGTGGATACGTTTTTTACGCATGTGCGGCGGCTGAAGCATTGCGCGGGTGCAGAAGGTGTAAATAAGCGCTCTAGTTTTGATCATCGGTACGTATGTACGTCTGTAGAGTTCCGTTCGAAAACATTACACTGAGAGTAGAATGGAATAATTAATTGATCAATTGTGAAAAAAAAAAACAGATTTTTTGATCACGATTGGTCAATTCTACCTTCAGTGGTCATCTCTACCTTCAGTGTGGAGTTTCCGAACGCAGCGCGTTCCACAATTGTGAACAACTTACTGCAGTTTCGGATTGAAATTTGGCTTGCCAAATCTCCCATGTGAGTGTTGAAACTTCAGGTAAAATATTTCTTTATTGTACAGATTAGGTTATAATAATACAAAGTCGATAAGTCTTATCATAATTTATGTAACAGTAGATCTTGATATTGCGAAAAATACAAAATCAAAATTTATCGATCAATTGCAAGATGTGTTGTTGCTCTGCTTCTTTCCATTCCGTGTCACCAGCATCTCCCAAGTTACCAGCATACTCTGAAGAACACAATATGTATGCGTATATATCGACAAATATATTATTCTAATATATATTTAACTTGTAATTAACTCATACGCAATTTACCTCTCATAATGTGTCGAATTGTTTTAAGAGATGCTCTCCTCTGCGCCAATATTCTGGTCACTCGTTGTTTGACAGCAGGTGGACAGCCAGTGCAAGCCTCCAAAAGTACATAATCTACTAATTGCAATATAAATAATCCGCCATCTAATCTCCTCAAGTAGGATTCCTCTTCGTCTTCGTCCTCCTGGAACGAAAGTGAATAAAAGAGAACGGCGTCTTATCGATTTCTTTTTCTAAATAAACACTTTCGGCCATTTATTTACCTTTCCGTTCTTTTCCACCTCCTCCACTTTCTCAAGGTACTTGAAATGTAACTCCATTAATCGATCGACTTTCTCGTAATCATTCTCGGTGAATTTACTAAGTAACCTTTGACGTTGTTGGCCTTTGCAGTTTCTCAACATGCTCGCTATGATCGAAACCACGTGTTCTATAAAATTATTATTTTGTTAACTTTCATGTTCTAATCGGACATACAAACATTGCTTATAATCTACATACACTGATATCCGATATTCCATTATTTGTTCAAGTACCTTCGTGTTCTTCTGCAGTGAGCATTTTTTTCCTGTTTTTTGTCGGAGTCTTCATAAACAGAGGAAATATAGTCCGCAATCCGAGAATATCCACAAACTTGCTACAGTTGTCTTTTCCGTCCGGACCATTCATAGCGTAATCCAGCACCTAGAATTGACTCAACTTATATGCTGAATCAATCATCGCGCGTATCGCATACGATCTCACCTTGAGAGATCCGTTTCGTGACATTTTCTTCTCTCGTAACATCAAATTCATAAGTTGAAGACCCTCGCCACGCAGGAATCTGTCGCGATTTATGGTGGCCATTAGGCTGGAGCATAGAACGTTGAATAAATTTTCCATCATCTCTTGTTCCTCGGCAGTTTGCGGGTCGTGCCTCTTATAATACTGCAAATCATTGACTTTGAGGTGCCAGAACTTGGCGAAATCGTATTTAGGAAGTATATAAATTTACAAAAGAATACGCATATGTACGGCTAATTGTTGCAGCAAAACGTCAATTCCGTCCAAGTCACCGAGGAGAAGCCTATTTTCCGGCGTATGCTGCAGAAGTATAGACAGCAGTTCGCTGGCGTAAAGTTTGTTTGCGTCGAACGGTGTTTTTGTCTTAATTCGACGGAGTAGCCACTGCATCAGACCCTGTTTGCCTGCATCCACGCATAAGTCCGGTCTAAACTCGAGAAGGTTCTCGAAAATAGCTAAAAATTAATATCGTCGTCGAATTAGCTCCGCTAACGAAATGTATCATTTTTAAAGGCAAAAAGTGATAAATGATATTCACGTGTTTGTTGAATAATTACCAAGTGTGTTGTGAACGCCGTCACTCTCTTCTTTCACTGCTTCGTCGAGTCTCTCGAGGTTTTGTACTAAAAGAGCACAAACTTGCTGCTCTAACAAAGCGTCAATAAGAGTGTCCGCGCCTTCTTGACTCTCGTGTAATATGTCAACATCGGTCAGCTCTTGAAGAAGATCCACCACTCCAACCGCTATGTCTGTATTCTCGTGAGATAATAATTCAAGCAGAGAAGGCACAGCACCTAATTCTACCATCAGTTGATACAGATCTGGGTTGGCTGCTATGATATGAAGTTCTTGGAGCGTTTCGTGCAATTCAACCTCGGATTCCATAAATCTGTAAGAATTCAAGAAAATCAGATTGTACATCGGGACTTTCACTTCAGGATATTAGTTAGTTTTATCAGCATGTCCACATACTTCTCCGGTTGATCTGGAAATTTGACTCTCATTTCCTGATTTCTGAGAGCTCTCTTCTCAAACAAAAGAATCATACGTTTAAGCGTGGCTTCGTCCAGTGCTTCGACTTCAGGGGCTTCAGTTTCTACATATTTCAAAATATCTTCCTTCTCCTTTTCCGTTAATTGCGGTTCCACCACTTCTGGCGTTGGTGGGGGTAAAACGGTTCTAACAGGTGTAGGAGGCTCACTGTCTCTGGGCGTCCCTATCTCAACTTCCTTGACCTGCCGTTGACGCGCGTGATACGGTGTTTTTATTACTCTTTTTGGTTTCTTGGCACTCTCCCACTCATCATCATCGTCCTCTTCTCCTGCTGCTGGTCGCTTTGGTGTATTTGGAGGCTGTATAAATTATGATTATTATACAATTTTGAAACTCTAATCATTTATAATTAACTTTTGCATTACTGAAGACTAGAATCGCCTATCATAAAGTAATTTCTATACAATGAGCAACTTTAATTGCTTGATGCATCAAGCTTATATTTTGAGGTATAAACATACAATATACATATTTCACATCATAGTAAATAAAATAAGCATATAAATTTAATTTATGTTACTTTATAAGTAAGATTATTTTATTTACAATCATATATTGAAGTAGATAATTTAATGTATAACTATATAGAAGTGTAACAACTATATAATTGTTCTGAAATATTAATATGTATCATGTGCTTTTATAATATAATAATTCTTTTTACATTCCACTGAAAAGGATCCGAATAGAATCAAAACATTTAGACTACATGACTGGATATTTTTATTATGCAGTTTCGACAGCATTAATCGCTACTTGTAACATTTTGTTAATATTCTTATGGCACTATAATTGTGCTTCTGCCCTTATTGACCCATTTCCTCCTATCTTTGATCAAAATATCATGAAACTGAGGTTAGATTAAATAATACATATGCCACTCTGTCAATGTAATCTAATCGTGATTGAAGAGGACTTCAACACATACCTTATAAGATAACAATTCTCCGATATCCATTTTCTGACCGGAGCAAAACTTATAACTTAACGAACAATAATTTTAAAAAAATTTAAAGGAACAAACATGTATCTCATATGACGCTCTGTTTTGTAGATGTTCCGCCATCGACAAACCGAGATCGTATAGTACGATTCAACGACAGATCGGGCAGATGGGCACTAATTAAATCCCGTTTCCAATCGACGCGCAGAAGTAGGAGCCCTTAAAAGCCAATGCTACATTAGACGTGCGATCACAAGGTAGCAAAATAATTGACCAATCACAATCAATTATTTCCCAATATGTTTTTACGCACGACAGGCTCTCCGCGAGAGGTCTCCACCGTGACTCCTGCCGGCCCCTCAAGTCCCGTTCACAAACACACTCCGCTGCTGCTACTCCTCCTGCTGGTGGACGAATGCGACACAAACAATGGTGGATCCGTGTATTTTGTTATTACTGATTATTACGTGTATACGATAATGGCTATTTGTACGTTAGCGCATAAAAGCACGAAACGTTGGGTCTGTTTGGAAAGATGTTCCAGTTGAGACGCGTCGTAATTGCGAGACGGCGCGTGTAATCGTGAGACTGAACGTCAACCCGAAAACATTTGTGTCGGAGTAAATAGTGATATTACGTATCTGCACGCGCCTACTTATATCCACCTACCCACCTAACCGAATTCCTCGACGTTACGTTATCATCCTCTCGTACATCCTTCCTCGCCGCAAACAGGAAAGATGAACCGCAGGTTCACCAAGAGGCACAGACGAGCCAGGAGACATTTTTGATAACGTTTCCTACTTCTTTATAATGTAAGATAGATTAACTAGTTGGTGGGTCGTGCTGTACGTGCGTGTATATTTTGTATTGTGCCTGACGAAGAGTGCAGCGATTTTTATTCATCATGGTGCATATACCGAGCGCGTACACCTACAACTTCTGGTCGGAGAAGCCGGAGCCCGCAGTGGTGGAAATTACGTTCCTGATGCCAAATGGTGTTGTCATACCGGTAGAGATCAATCGCAATAGTACCGTGACTGAGATCAAAGAGGTAAACTCCGATACATATGCTCTCTTTTTATTACATATTATGTTTTGTTATTCTATTTTCATTGTCAATCTCTCGAACGTATGTACCTGTGCAAGAATATAAGTTTGGTGATGTTCAACAGGAACTCTGGGAGGAGGCTAGTAAATATCCTCTCCATGGGACACTGAAAGACGCACCGTCGTACGTGTTCTCGTGCATCAACTCGAACGCCGAGGTAGAAGAATTGCGCGATGAAACAAGACGTCTCTGTGATATAAGGCCCTTTTGTGCGATATTAAAGGTTATAGAGCGCGAAGGTATAAAGAGCGATAGGAATTTAGACTCGCAAATCGGCCTCTTGATCGGCAAGGGCTTGCACGAATTCGCCGCCTTAAAGAATTCCGAGGTGAACGACTTCCGATGGAAGATGCGCCTCTTGGGGGACGAGATGGCGTTAGATAGACAGAAGAAATCCTGGGTGGAGAAGGTGCAGTATCAGTTCCCGTCGAGGATAGCACCTACGCCCGCTGTACCTAAGAATATCGAGAGTCGCTTGAAGGATGGGAATATCGTCCTGGTCACGATTAAATTCGAAAATTCTGATGTAAGTGAGCTGCTATCGCTTCTAACGTTGAGAAAACCGAGTAAGTTCTCTCGTTCACGGGTGCATTTGCCATTTCAGACAGCGTTCACCTTTCAAATACCAGACAGCACTACGCCGTACCAATTGCTCGGACTGATCCTGAACAAAAGGGCGAATACTCTTAATACTCGCGGCGAACACCCCAACGACTTTACGCTTAAGGTTTGCGGTCAAGAGGAATACTTGATCGGCGAACTTCCGCTTATACAGTTTAGTTATATTCAAGATTGTCTAGCGAAAGACATCACACCGACGTTGGTTACGCTCAGCATACAGAGCATACCCGTGGACCAAGATAACGCCTACGACAATCCAGATGCGGACACGTTGCAGCGCACAAGGCCGTCTTTTTCTACGCTCACGTTGCGCAAGAAAGGCAAGCATATCTCGGCGTGGAAAATCGACGATTCCTTTTTCTTCACCGTAAACGGTATTTCTCGGCTTAACTGCGACGCAGTTCATCGTACCGTAGAGGTATATCGTATTTTCTATAGAGTCGGAGGTGAGACCTTCGGATTTGTGTGACCTTCATTGTGATTTCTTTCGCTTTTTTTTTTTTCTTTGTACAATTACACATGTAGATCGGACTGCAAGCCGGCCTTTTTCACGGTGGAAAATCTCTCTGTGAGAGTAAGAAAACCAGGGAAATCGCTGTGAGTCTCGACGGTAGTTGCGAGTGGGAGGAGGTTCTCAGATTTGACATTAAAGTGCGGGATATACCGCGAATGGCACGGTTGTGCTTCGTGCTGTACGAAATCAGCAAGACTGCGAAGGGCTTGAAGAGCAGGAAGTTAGTCAAAGATTCGAAGCAGGAGTTCTTCATCAATCCTTTGTGTTGGGCAAACACGACGATATACGATTTCAAGTGCCAGTTGAAAACCGGCGCGATGACCTTGTATACGTGGACGTACGCGGAAGATATGCAAAATGACGACTTGCTGCATCCACTCGGGACGGTGGTTTCTAATCCGCACATAGACAGAGCAGCTGCTCTCATGCTGACGTTTCCAAAGTGAGTTGATCTCTTTCTCTTTCTTCCCCTTTGTCTCTTACGAGATATCTGCACGCATTATGTTGCATTTATTTACCGTTTCAGTTATGGAAAGGACAAGTGCGTTCTTTACCCCACCCTGGAAAAGATGGTCGAGTACGCTCGAAAATTGCGGGAATCGTCTAACGAACGCTCAGTCGTAGAGGAATTGAATAAGGACGACGTCAGCCAACAACAGCTGGAACAGCTGAGATTACTGGCCGACAGAGATCCGCTACACGAGTTGCACGAACAGGAGAAGAAAAATATGTGGTCGTTGAGACACCATTGTCTGCGCGAGATCCCGACGCTCTTAGCCAAGCTGTTGCAATGCGTGGAATGGAACGATCACAGGTGGGAAACCGATTGCTCGTCTCTGAGCGAGGTGGCAAATAGTCTCGCTGACTCGTCGGATATTTTGTAGAGAAGTCGCGGAGGCGATGGCGCTTATACAGCAGTGGCCGACGTTGCCGGTGGAAAAAGCTCTGGAGTTACTGGACTACGCTTACGCCGATCAGAATGTCAGGAATTTCGCAGTTGGTTGTCTGTATAACGTCACCGACGACGACCTCAGCCTTTACCTGCTACAGTTAGCTCAAGCCTTGAAGCATGAGAATTACTTGGCGTGCGATCTGACGGAATTTCTCCTAAGACGTGCGCTGAAAAATCAGAGGATAGGCCACTTCTTATTCTGGCATCTCAGGTTAGTGAGATCTGCTATGGTTTGTGTATTTTCTCACTCCAATTGTCACTTTCAGTCGTACTTTCATTTATAATGTTTTTTTTTTTTCATAAGCTTTGTGAGCTTTTTTTGAATTTACTCACATAAGTCAAGGGAGCTCTGAGATAACATTAGCATCAGGTCCCCGAAAAGTCCGGCACTGGTCTTTCTCGTTGCTCACGCAGATTCTCAGAAATCTCGCATTCGCAGGTCAGAGATGCAAGTTGGCGCGGTGTCCGTTCGTTTCGGTCTCATATTAGAGGCGTACTGCAGAGGCAGTCAGCAGCACATGCGATCGTTGTTCAAGCAGATGAAATGTCTGGACAAATTGAGGAACGCCTCGGAGCAAGCGAAACAGAGGAAGGATCGTAAAGCGACTCTTCAAGGCTTCCAAGACTTCATCCAAGAACCACACTGCCAAGAAGCGATGTCCGACATTCTCAACCCCCTCGATCCGAGCTTCAGATGGAATCGCATCAAGTGAGCTTATCATTTTCTATTCGTCGAGCGATTCCTTCCTCTCTCTCTCTCTCTCTCGTCATCTCAATCTCTTCTCTCATTGTCACTCTTAGAATCGAGAAGTGCCGAGTGATGGACAGTAAGATGCGACCGCTCTGGTTAGTCTTCGAGAATAGCGATCCCTTCGGCGACGATATCTACTTAATTTTCAAGCACGGCGACGACCTCAGGCAAGACATGCTGACGCTTCAAATGCTACGCATCATGGATAAGCTGTGGAAGAAGGAGGGCTTGGACTTACGTATGAACCCGTACGGTTGCATATCCACGGAGAGCCGGGTCGGTATGATAGAGGTGGTCTTGAACGCGGAGACGATCGCGAATATTCAGAAGGAAAAGGGCACGTTCTCTGCGACGGCGGCCTTCAGGTATGGCGCGTTATTGTATCGCTTAACACGTTGACTGCTAGCGCGCGTCATCGGTGGACTTTCCGTTCAGGCCGCATAGCATTCATAAATATAAATATAAGATGTATTTTATAACAAATGCGGTAACGTGGGCGTGAACGGAAAGTCAGCATAAAATTGGCGTGGCACTCAATCTGCTAAGCATCGGCAATGACAGTCGAATAAAAAAAAAAAACATCACCGTTTTCTTTCCTTCTCTGTTCAGGAGAGGTTCCTTATTGGCTTGGCTGAAAGATCACAATCATTCGGAAACGGCGTTGAACAAGGCTATCGAGGAGTTCACTCTGAGTTGTGCCGGCTACTGCGTCGCGACCTACGTTCTCGGGATAGCCGACAGGCATTCCGACAATATAATGGTGAAGAAGACCGGACAGCTGTTTCACGTCGACTTCGGCCATATATTGGGCCACTTCAAGGAGAAGTTCGGATTTCGACGTGAACGCGTACCCTTCGTTCTGACCAATGACTTCGTGCACGTCATAAATAAAGGCCAGACGAAGAAGGGCCACGCGGTCGAGTTTCAAAGATTTCAAAGTCACTGCGAACAAGCCTTCCTCGTCCTGCGGCAACACGGTGGACTCATACTGTCTTTATTCGCCATGATGATATCTACCGGGCTGCCTGAACTCTCGTCAGAGAAAGATCTGAATTATCTCAGAGATACTTTGGTACGTATCGCCGCGAATACAGTAGCGCCACGGGCCGAGAGTATCGATCCCGTCTTGCGTACCGAACGGGCGCTCGGCTTTCGCTCGACTGAATATCCTCGTATCCTTGCAGGTCCTAGAGATGTCCGAGAGCGAAGCACAAAAACACTTTAGAAGTAAGTTCGACGAGGCCCTCTGTAACTCGTGGAAAACATCGTTAAATTGGGCGTCGCACAATATGTCCAAGAACAATAAGACGACGTGAACACCAATAATCGTAATCGCACAATGCGACGATATAGGTTAATTTCCGACTCAAGGGTCTACGCGTACGCTCTTGAGACGTGGAGCGAGTTGCCTGTAAATAAGCAAGCCACGACATAGCCGTGAGGCGGCTTGCGGCGTAGAACAAAAGCCGTCGTTTTCGCTACGGTCGATCGTCGTCGTCGTCGTCAGGGAATTCGGCGGCTGTAACCAGTATACTATTAAGACTGCATAAAGAAAAGAAACGAGCGATCGTCACCAGCGTCAACGGACGTCGCGTCTGCCGGTGCTATCGTGGGTGTGATCTAGAGAAATAGTAGGTCTAATATATGCGATAGACTCGTACGCTCACTTTCAATACGGCTTGAACTCTCTCTCTCTCTCATTCTTCTCGAGAACTTCGAGGGAACTTCACTTTTTTCGGGAATTAATCAAAAAACGAGTTCTCTCGAGTTGGACCATCGTGGCTACGTTTCGAACTGATAAAAACACAAACAGTTCAAATCATATTGAAAGCGAACGTACACCTTTTTCGGAGTTCTTTAGCCGCGGGGCGAGCAGTCTAGGTGCCTACGTTCACAGTGTAGTACATTTCTCAACGATATGTGGACGTACGGTACATATCATCGAAAAAGATTCGGCGCGTTTTCACTTCTCAGTTCCTGACAGCACTCGGGAATACCATCGAGTCGTTTCTCACTTGAGAATTCGCTCCCTCACGATAACTTGAGGCACGATCAAACGATACGTCGAAACGATTTTTGCAATGATACTTCGAGTGAGTCCACGGTGATGAACGCACAGTGGAGCACCGTCGTTAAATCGCGAGAATCTTACTGCCTTCTCTCGAGCAGATCACTTTACGATGACATGATAAAAGGAAACCGGCCTGGATTGGTGTCCCCCTACGCCGTAGATACTCTCTTGTCTCACATCACGTATTCCAACGGATCAATCTGTCGAATGTAATGGGCGGATAAATGCACCGCGACATTATTTAACAGTGCGGTCGGCGTCATGTATACGCTGTACGTTCCTCAGATCGAAAATTACGCGATCTTCAGCCGTGCACATGTACACGGTGTCACTGTGAGGTGAATCAAAATTGAAATCGAAATTATATTTTGAAATGAGGAGGCTCTCTCTCTCTCTCTCTCTCTCTCTCTCTCACACGTACTCTTTGCGCACTCGCTTTGCTTTAGATATTTTACTGTCACACACACACACACATACATATACACATTAGAACATACTTGTGATATTTTTTTCCTACATAAGGTCAACATCGTTATAATTAGATCCATTATAATTCTGTAATTATAATTGGAAATGCGATTTTCGACCTTATGGATCAAGCGTATAAGACTGAAAATCGTGATTCTAGGGATTGGTACAGCATATGTGACGACGCCGACACGTGCTAAGCGAAGAGGAGTTCGGCGGTTGTTGAACAGTAGCGGATAATATAACGCTTGATTCCCCGCACACCATCGGTGATGACAGTGTGATAATCCAAAGCAATATTTATCTCGCGAAGCTACACGCAGTCGACATCCTCCCCCTCCCCCTCGGTAAAAAGTATCAGCGATCGAGAGCGCGATCGGCGGGAGCTCGATCGAAAGTGGTAAACGTTATCGGTTTCTCTCATTGCAAACGAACGCGATTGTGAAGCGAACACTCCTGTGAAGTGTAAACTAATCACCAATTCGTATAGATATGCCTACCCTAACCGAGAATATTTTTCTTACATGACGTGTATGTGTATATGTACGAAGGTTCATGTCTTATTTAATAGAAGAACAACATTTTCATGCTAGTGACGCGCCGGGATTTTCTATTATATTATCGTTATCACGCGCGCTATGCAATTTTTCCGTATTAGCGATAGGTCGAATTAGTAGAGCCCATGATATATCAGCGCTCTCCTACGAAAAAAGAAAGAAGAAACATACGCTTTTTAAAAGAAAAGGAAAAAAAAGACGACTCTCGATCAAACACACACGCGCGCGCGCTCACATGTAAGATAAGGTAATGATCTCTAATTACGCATTACATAGGAGAAGTAAATAATGTTGCGGACTCCTATTACATAGGAGAAGTAAATAATGGTGCGCCAACGCGCTGCATTCGTATCATCTTACTGCGTCATTCGTGTATGAAAAAAGGGGAAAAAAAGACGAAAATTGTTCGGTGGGACGAAAACTTTATATATAATATTATATATGTACGTATGTAATGTATACACACGCACACACACACATATGCGTATCCCCATCTCGAAAAGTCTCGTGCGAATTTTCGTATCTCGCGTTGCGCTCGATTCCACGAATGGATCTGTGAGACCCCACGCCTGCACGGATAGGGTTGCGAATGTCAACCGGGGAACCAACAGACAGAGAGAGAGAGAGAGAGAGAGAGAGAGAGAGAGGGAGGGAGAGGGTCACGTCGCGGCATACATACATATCCACACGTATCACGACACATACACACACACACACACACACGCGCGCATGCACGCACATATATCATGGGCACGGTGGTTTATGCACCGCATCACGCACATTTTGAGATAGGCGTTCGCGCGCGTTCTCGCGTTGCACGAGTCGTCGTCGTCATCGTCGTCGTACGAGGAGGAGGACGATATTGGGCTGTTCGTGCGATCTCATCGAACGTGTTTTTCACTATCGGGCAATAATCGCGCGCCGCTTTCACCACCGTTTCCTTTCTACCGAGTCGAGTCATTTTTATCGTTTTTTTTTCTCTCTCTCGCAGCGATATCGAAATATGTAATTTTGTACAATGCATACGTAGGTCTGTATCGGTCAGTGTCTGTTGTAAATAAAGTTGTCAATTTCGAAATCCTTGCGTATATTCGTTGTAATCGGATTCGGAGGGAATCGGTGCTCTCGTTGCTTCAGTCGCGAGTGTTAAGAAAAAAGTACGCTCTACGTGTGCCGTTAGCCGATTAGCGATTACGGGCGACCCGTCGCTGTGATCACCTGCGGAAGCACCTGTGCCGGCGCGTCGGGAGTTCGCGAAGACCACTGGAGTGAAGGAAACGCTATAACGTCGTCGGGTACAATGACAGCCGCCGAGGAAACGGAGCCGTTGATATCCACCACGCCGGCGTCCTCCGTTAATAAAATCCAAAGAGTCACCTATCACACGATTTCTTTCGTAAGTACGAAACGAATGAAGCAATCTTGTGCCAGTCAAATCGCGAAGTCAATGCTTCTCCGACGCGTAAAGATCGAACGGCAAGCGAGATTCGCGTTTCTTCCAAAGGTCGAAATATCGAGTGACAACGAATCAATTGAAGCGATCGCACGCGTGTCAATGAGAGGTGAATCAAAATTGAAAACGAAATCATACTTTTAACGAGAAGATTCTGTCTAACACATTACTTGTGCATTCGCTCTGTTTAAAATATTTCACCGTCACATATACACACATACAGTCTCTCTCATACTTTTTAAGTCCAGTATCGACGAAGAGCGCGACATGGCTTCGTTTCCACCCTCCGATTACTTCTAACAGGGTTTGCTTGTCTGATCAATAGCATTTCATATTATATATCAAGAGAACGCGTATACTGGAATATACTTGTGATATTTTTCCTCCGTTATTATTCTATATTTCTTCCTCTAATACTTTTACTACTTTACTTTGGTTATATTAAATTATGTATTAAATATTAAATTTAAATTCTATTTTGTTACATTAAACTGTTTTCTATTATATTTGTGATCGTTAATAGGAAGGGAACGAAAGAAATATATCGCACAATGGAAGCCCGGAGGCCTCGTTTAGTTTGAAACCAATTTCAAGCGTGTCGACAGGCGTGAATCTCAACAGCGAAATCGCCCACAATCAAATCACGTATACGTGGAGCGACGTGAACGTGTATCTCAGCACGAAAAATGACAAGATCTGGGATAGGATGATGTTCAGGCCCAGGAAACCCGTCGCGCAGAAACACATATTGGAAGATGGTACAGACGAAAATTACAGTTTTTCTCACTATATTTCAACCTTAAGTACTCACACCATAAGAAATTATGCAGCTACTTGTACTGGGGTTTTTTGTCTCGATCATTCTGGAACCTATGAAAAAAGATCTCCTTTTCGTTTCCGTTTAAGATTCCATTTAAAAACTAGAATCTTCCTTTTGTACAGTAAAGAATACACACGAAAGAGAAGTTTTGGAGCCGAGAGTCAATCAGTCGCCATGAATATGAATGAGTCTCGAATACTCGAGGAATAAGTTGCGGAATGCTGCATCGGTATTGATAAAAGTTGGTTTCTTCGGTGAAAAACACGTATTTCAGTATGCGGGGTGGCTTATCCCGGCGAGCTGCTCGTAATCATGGGTGCGTCAGGTGCTGGGAAAACGACCCTGCTGAACACGCTGACGTTTCGACCGACACGCGGCGTGTCCGCGTGCGGCTTGATGGCCGCCAACGGTCAAAGGGTATCGCCAGACGTGCTCACTTCGCTGATGGCTTACGTGCAGCAGGACGATTTGTTCATCGGCACCCTCACCGTGGCGGAGCATCTGATGTTTCAGGCAATGGTGCGGATGGACCGGCGAATACCCCGCGATCAGAGGATCAAGCGGGTCAACGAAGTCATCGAAGAGGTAAAATCCCAGTGTCGTCATGTCATACCTCATTTCATCCTTTCTCTCCCCTTCGAAAGCAGTTGGCCCTGTCGAAGTGTCGCAACACTATAATCGGCGTGCCCGGTAAGGTGAAAGGTCTCTCGGGAGGGGAGATGAAGAGATTATCTTTCGCCTCCGAGGTATTGACCGATCCTCCGTTGATGTTCTGCGACGAGCCGACGTCGGGCTTGGACTCCTTTATGGCTCATCAGGTTGTTTCCATCTTGAAGGCGTTGACGGGTGAGTCGTCGGTACACTGAGAGAAAAATATCTAAGAAATACGAAATATTTGTTTGACGAGTAATAACATATTTACTTATACTAATATACATATTTCTGCACTGAGAAGTTTCAAATAACAAGATATACGTTTTCTTAAATCTGTTTTTGCGAAAACAATTGTTTATTCTATTTAAATATATTATTAGTATCTCCATCAAGTAAATATTGTTTTTATTTCTTGGGTATTTTTTCTCTCAGTGTATAAAAATGATTCGCAGAAGGGTCTTTCTGGAATCGCCGACGCATGAGATAAAGGTTTGAAATGACTGAAATTAATAATCAAACGATTGCGATAGCTCGTGGTAAGACGATTATCGCTACTTTACATCAACCCTCGTCGGAGCTCTTCGCTCTCTTCGACAAGATTCTACTGATGGCCGAAGGGAGAGTAGCCTTCATGGGTACCGCCGCGCAAGCTTGTTCTTTCTTCAAGACGTAAGTTCAGTCGAAGAACTTAAGACCTTAACAGAATGGCTGATTTATTAGTTCAAGGCAACGTTTAATGTTTCGAGTCTTCGTCTTAAATAACACACAATGACCGTGTAGAATCTTAAGCTAAAAAGCTGTTCTGTTTGTGATTGATGATAAACCACTATGCAATAAAAAAAGTAAAAAAAGAATAATTTAGACAAATATTTGAAGCATAAAAGATTGTCTTAAAATTACAAGTCAGTCATTCTACCAAGGCTTTTGAGAAATTTCGCTCGTCCACATCTTTGAAAATTATGTTTTAGAAAGGAAGAGCCAACGATCATAAGCTCGTAATTTTTATCGTTGCCACGTGCCATCTTTCGCAGACTCGGTGCCGCTTGTCCCAGTAACTACAATCCCGCGGACTACTTCGTTCAAACATTGGCGGTCGTACCTGGACGTGAACTGGTTTGCAGACACGCGATCAAAATGACATGCGACAACTTCCAAAGAAGCGAGTACGGCGTGAAGATCGCCTCGAAGGCTGAGGCTGTGCACGGCGAATTCGAGGACTCTCTCAGAAGGCTCAAGCAGTCCCACTCCAGCGGATCGCCTTACAAAGCGACCTGGTGCGAGCAATTCCGCGCGGTTCTATGGCGGTCTTGGCTGTCGGTGATCAAGGAACCGATTCTCATCAAAGTTCGCCTCTTACAGACCGTTGTATGTTTGTCTTCGATGATTTGTGCGGTTTCACGAAAATAAAAGATGAGCAAAAGAAGACGAGACAGAGAGAGAGAGGGGAAGGGAGGGAGAGAGATGCTTGTATTTTATGTCGCAGATGGTTTCACTGTTGATCGGCGTCATCTACTTCGGCCAACGAATGGACCAAGACGGTGTGATGAACATCAACGGCGCCCTCTTCATCTTCCTCACCAACATGACTTTCCAGAACGTCTTCGCGGTTATTAACGTGAGGGGAGAGAAAGGAATATCGTATGCACATTGAAGCTGCCTAACTGCACTCATCCGTGTGTCTTTTATTTCTAATAGCGAGAACGCAGAAAAGGAAAAAGATAGCTTACAAGCAGCTCGATAATAAGTCGAGCCGAGTTTATCTATATTTTCAATCTTATCTAAGAATTATCGAGAGCACGCGTGAGTATTTAATGGATCAATGCACACCAATACACTCCGTACGTAGGTTTTCTGCGCCGAATTGCCGATATTTCTCCGCGAGCACAGAAACGGGATGTACCGCACCGACGTCTACTTCATCTGCAAGACGTTAGCGGAAGCGCCGGTATTTCTGGCGGTGCCGTTGATCTTCACCGTCGTCGTCTACCCTATGGTCGGCCTCTATCCTGACGTGAAGCACTTTCTCATCGCCGCTGGCACGGTGGCTCTCGTGGCGAACGTCTCGACCTCGTTCGGTAACATCGAGACTCACCGAGACAGCTCATATTGTAACCTTTTTTAAATAATTATGGAACACCTGATTTCCTCTCTCGCAGGTTACCTGATCTCGTGCGTCAGTAACGGAGTGTCTATGGCCCTTTCCATCGGCCCTCCTGTGATAATACCATTCATGCTCTTCGGTGGCTTCTTCTTGAACACAGCGTGAGTCTCTCTCTCTCTCTCTCTCTCTCTCTCGCGAAATAAGGATATTAATGGATAAGAACGTTTGATTCTCCGTCGAATTGAGAAAATGTTGTGCACGACAGGTCGATACCGTCTTACTTCGTGTGGTTCTCTTACCTATCCTGGTTTCGTTACGGCAACGAGGCGCTTCTGATTAACCAGTGGGCTGAAATCGACTCGATCGAGTGCACCAGAAACAACACGACGTGTCCGAGATCCGGGCACACGGTTCTGCAGACCTTCAACTTCAAGGAAGAGGACTTTTGGACGGACATCGTTTGCTTGTTCTCGCTCATCGCGGTGTTCCGTTTCCTGGCGTTTCTCGCGCTACTGTCGAAAACTCGCCGGTCGAAGTAACTCATCATTCGATCGTCGTCTCACCGATCAAGACAGGATCGCGAGGAGCAGCGGTTCACTGGTTTTAACGTTACCTTGTATGCAATGTATCTTCGACAAGTCATTTTTATTATTCATCATCGCGTCGTTCTACAACCTTTATCAGCTTATGTCGTTTGCAAATACAGATTCCAATATTTAAGGGATTGATCTTTGATTGATTTCGCACTGTCATCCTGCCATCCTGCTCTCACAGGCCTTTGCAACTTTACTTATTGACTAAAAAAAATTCTTAATCACGAGAAACAAGCGGAATGTGCGAATTCTTCATCCTTCATTCTGCTTCACCCTTCGCTGCTTCATCGTCGGTGAGAAGCTCGGGATAAACAGTCGCGTTAAGATGGATAATTAGGTCACGAATCCAAATCCACGAGCGAGAATCATCTCACTTCTCTCTCATGAGTCACGAGTCGAGTATCGATCTCGACGAGCGCTCACCGCAAAAAGCCGTAATAGGAACTCGAGGAAAAGGCGACGCGCGGCCGCACCGCCGACATGTCGGTGTGTTTCCTGTACGGAGTCCGAGTACTCTACTCGAGTACGCTTCTGCGCGTGTATCTGGATATCGTTACAAACCGGTTGTCATACATACCGTGCGACCGCATACGATAGGACACACGAAGCGATCCTGGGAAACCGTCACGCTTGGCGTCGTAAAAGAGGGAAGTGTCGATCGACGCTACTCGTGCTCGTTCATATTCGCGAATCTCGGAGTGAGAAAAAGGAGCGAGGACGCGAAATGAATTCGCGAACCGTCAGTTCGGCGGCGGCGTCACCGCCGATGTGCCGCGGGAAAGCGAGAAGGATGCCGTTGCTAAAGTCGATCGTTGGGAGAAGGAACGCGCGACAATTCCAGTAGCGAAATAAGATCGGCCTGGACTTGGCCACTCGTCCGTCTCGACGTTACGTGTAGGGTTTCGGTTTCCAGTTACCGCGACATTCGCGTCACGAATGCGTCTGCGGAGGGCACTTTTTCTCCGACCGCGCCGGGGAAAAGCCTTGGACGGGCGCTCGCGCACCCCACGCGAATCGAGCTATATCGATCGATCAGCCCGCGAGTCTCGGTCGTTGTACCGGCGCCGCATCGTTCGATCGTGATTTCACGATGCCGTTATGCAATCGCTCGTGCCGACGATTACGAGCTCCCGATGGTCTCGCACTTCAAAGCTCATCCTACGGTGCAGGAGTATGCGCGAGACGCGGTTATAAGGGACCCTTCCGGTGTGGTAGACCGTAAACTGAGATCGAAAACGATCCTAAGCTTATTCCACGACAGTCGTAAGAGTATGCAAGACGTAAGCAGCGAGCTAACCGACAAATTGGATTCTCACAGTCCAAGAATAACCCGTTGTGGTTGGTCAATTTGCTCACTGCTTCTTACATACTCTCATGGCTGCGTAGAATGAGCTTCGCTTTGCTTTCCGTTCGTTACACCGACAAGGTGTAAACCGCGTGACATTCGACTTTGCGAGGAAAGGATCGCGGGAGGAACGCGGGCCAAGTGCATCGGGTGGTGGTAGCGCGCCGTTACGCGCGCCGACGAGAAGCCGAGCACTATCTCTCTACCGATCTCCCTTTCGCGCCAGTTTCTCACCCTTCGGACACGTGCGCGTAAGGCTTCCGCCCGCAAGGTTCCAGTCGCATCGGTCCGGCTGCGCCGTCTCGTCGTCTTTACCGCCGCCGGCTCGCTGCGAGGCGATATCTATGCAATCGGCCCTCCGTGTAATCGCGGAAATACCGAGGGAGTGAGAAAGAGGAGGAGAAGAAAATGGTGCTGACTGGTATTACACGTCTTAGACACACGCTTCGCGCGCGATAATCGATGACTCGTAATTCGGTCGCGCGCGATGCAGATAAGTATCGGAGATAATGGTCTCGCCGAGAGAGAGGGAGGAGATCGTTTAAAACGTTAGTTCCCCGAAAGGGAAGCTCCGTCTCGTCAATTCGTATATCTCTGTTTTTCTTTCTGTTTGTCCGAAGCGCGGAATGCCGTGGACGTTAGACCGGAGGCCGGTGCGCCTCGCGGCGCGACGCTCTCCTGGCAACACTTGTCCGTCTACGCGATGGATCGGAACCGGCGCACCATCAGCAAACAGCTCATCAATAGCGGTATCTAATGCATATTAAGCCCGAATGACGCGAGACCTGCCGTGCGCTGACGTTCGCTTTTTCAGCCCGAGGCGTGGTGCGGCCCGGTGAACTCACCGCGATCCTAGGAGGCAGGTAATTCGAACAACTGTTAATCACGATATAATCAATCATTAATGTTCCCGCGAGGCATGAAATTAATGAGGAAATTAATACGCGGCGTAACGTCGGCGATCGATTGTCGCGTGATTAAATTTCTTTGCCGATCGATCACCGTCGTAAATTGCAACGCGTTGAAACGGTTCCCTTTCCCTACATATACCTGTTAAATCGGCGTGAGCGCAGCGGTGCCGGGAAAAGCTCGCTGATGACCGCACTGGCGTTTCGCACGGGGCGTAAGTATAATTTTGGATAAAGAAAAGAAGAAGAGAAGAGAGGAGATTTCGATTTCTTTTACTCTCGAATCGGCAGCTGGCATTGTGGTGCACGGTGAGGTCCACGTGAACGGAGCCTCGATTGTGTCATCGTACATGCGATGTCACAGCGGTTTCATGCATCAGGAGGACATGTTCATCGAGACGATGACGGTGCTGGAGCATATCTGGTTCATGGTAAATTCGTCGCGCTCACCGAGCGAATCCGTGAACGATTGCGTGATCACGCGGCATTATTAACGCGACTTTTTCATCCAGGCTAGAATGAAATTAGACGGGAGAATCCATACGCCGGACGTTCGACGGAGGATCGACCACCTGCTGAGGGACGTCGGTCTGATCGAGAGACGCGACGTTCGCATCGGCGCCGGTGATGACTGCAAGGTTCTGTCAGGCGGTGAGAAAAAGAAACTGGCCTTCGCCACTGAAGTACGTGCCTCTGTCGAATTTCTCTGCGTCGCTCGTCACCTCATTTCCGTTCTCCTCTCTCTCTCTCTCTCTTTCCAGCTGCTGACGGATCCTGAGATACTATTTCTGGACGAGCCGACGACGGGGCAGGACGCGCACTCGGCCAGCGTCCTTGTGTCGCACATGACGACCTTCGCGCTGAGGGGCCGGACGATCCTGTGCACCATACATCAGCCCAGTTCCGCCATCTTCAACAGTTTCCATCGTATAATCCTCTTGGCCGGTGGCAGAGTGGCGTTCGCGGGTACCGGCGCCCAAGCGATACAATTTTTCTCCAGGTACGCGAAAAAGGAATCAATTCCGCTGGAGAATCCGAATTGTTCGTTGCGCTTCACTCGGAGGGGAAACCGGCAGCTTCGGGTGCTGAAACCAAACAATTCCAGACTTGATCCTTGCGATTTCTGTAGCCAGGGTTACACGTGCCCGCGCAATTACAATCCGGCTGATTTCCTGGTGGCGACCCTGGCGATCGCACCCGGCGACGCGGACGGTAGCGGAAGAGCCGGCCAGAGGATCTGCGACGCGTTTCTCACGAGCGAAGCGTGCAACGAGATCGACGTTACGCTGCAACGGGAGGTGGACTTCGCTCGTTCGCAACCCGCCGTAAGCGAAATCAGATCGAAACGAGTGTACGATCAGTAAATAATAAGAAAGAGAGAAACTCATTGAAACACGGGGATTTATCTTCTCGTTTCAGACGAAGGAAACCGTTCGCAAATCGCACCTCTTGTAAGTATCGTCCGCGACATTTGTTGAAAGTAAGTCGGAGCCATTGAAAATATCGAACGCGACTTGATACGTCAAATGAGACGATCTTCTCGCTTTCGTCATTCGCGGCGTTTGATTCGCTTCAGCGAAGAGCCGTGCTGCTGGCTGCGATTGTACTGGCTGATCCATCGCGGCTTCCTCCAAGTCCTGCGCGACCCCTCGGTACAGTTGATCAGGATCCTGCAAAAAGTGGTGAGCACCGTCGAAACGTCTCGCGAATAATTGCGAAAATCACAAGACGACCAATCTGTCGCAGAGCCTCGCGATGCTCGCCGGCCTGTGCTTCGTAGGCGCTGTCAACCTCGATCAGTTGGGCATTCAAGCTATAGAGGGTGTCATATATATCCTGGTGTGCGAGAACACTTTCTTCCCCATGTACGCGACCTTGGCGTTGATCCCGCAAGAATTGCCGCTTCTACTTCGAGAGTACAGAGCGGGCATGTACCCCATTCATCTTTACTACGTAGCGCGAATGATATCGCTAGTGAGTTGAGTTGACCTTTTTTATTAATTGTCGCTCCCCCTGTCGATTACTCGATCCGGGTACCACTTCGCGAGCGTCGAATCTTTCAGATACCCGGTCTGTTGGTGGAGCCGACGCTTTTCACCGTGATAATATACTGGCTAACAGGATTGCGTCCTGCGACGGATGCCCTCGGCTTGACTCTGTTGGTCGTTGTGTTCACAATAAACGTATCTACTGCTTGCGGTAAGTATCTCGCCGATCGAGGACCGTACGAGTTACGAGGCAAAAAAACACCAGATTTTTAGACACTTTTCTAATAGATATTAATTGAACATAATAGAAAGTTTTATCTGACAATGTATGCCTTAACGGTATTCTATTTAAGTAATCGTAAAGATGAAAAATTAATATCATTTCAAGATTCACTTATATAAAGATTATATATTCTTGCTGATATATATATATATATATATGAGAATATGAATGAATTGATACTAATTTCTTCCGTAAAACTGTACATATATTTGGTGAAACTTAATGTTGCAGGATGTTTCTTCTCAGCAGTCTACGAGAGTGTACCATTAGCGATGGCATACTTGGTGCCTTTCGATTATATTCTCATGATAACCATGGGACCTTTCGTCAAACTCAGGTATGCATCGATATAATGCGAATGATATAGTCGCTTAGACAATTGTTATTCCTTCGATGGAACCAATTCCCAAATCTTCTTAATGGACGATGTCGTTTTAATTATATATCGTTTTCCTCCTCTTTTAATAGCACGAATTAACACTCGATTCGTTCATTCGTAGCTCGCTGCCTATATATGTTCGATGGTTGAGATATTTCTCCTGGCTGCTGCATTCGACGGAAGCTCTAACCATCATCCAATGGAGAGGAGTGCATAATATATGTACGTATAAATTTCGCCGCAATCGCGTCGCATGCTGCGTTCGCGCGTTCTTCTCACGAACACTGCGTAATGCGCATTTCTACCATTAACAAACAGCCTGTGAAATTAACGAGCCGGAACTGCCTTGCCTCACCGAGGGTTCCCAAGTATTGGATCACTATGATTTCGACGAGGGCAGCTTTTGGACCGACATCGTCCTTATGGCCGGCATTTACACCGTCTTCCATCTCTTGGCGTACGTCTTCCTGTGGAAGCGGTGTAGATCGAAGTAAACTCTTAGTTTCTAATTCTAACGAGCGAATAACGATCACTAATTACGACGCACACTTTTATATACAAGCAATTAACGTGGCCGGATCGTATGTTCAATTCTAAAGTTATTAACTCGAACACATTAAGCGTCCTGCAAACTCGTCGTAGCTTCTATTTGCGTCAGGTACGATCCTTTTTGAATATCATTATTATTATAACATATAGAACTATAATCCGTTAACGATTGTCATCATTTTCCGAAGATCGAGCTAATATTGCGATAGTTAAAGAAACAGCTTCCGCTGATTTTGTAGTTGAAAATTTGCCTCTTCACCAGTCGCAAGTCCAATTAATTTGTCGCGAAAGTTCCATCACGGAGCACGCGTGGAAAGGGCAAAGATATCGGTTCGGTTTTGTCCCTACGGCTGTCACGTTCCGATATTCACTGTCAGTATCACCGGCGGTATTGCAAATACCGTTTCAGTGTACGTCGCAGCGGGCTCGCCGCAGGATGCAACAATGAACTTCGATAAGCTTCGGAGAGTACCTCTATAATTCCGACGGAACCCCGATACTTTCGATCTTGCATGCCTTTTTGTTAAGAGTGGATGCTTTCACTTCCGCATCCTATTAAGGTACCATTCGCTTCGCTTTCATTCTAATTTCGTCCCATTAATATTTCTGTTGCTAAACAAAAGAGAAACTTGGCGTTTTGTCAATTCGGAGCAGATACATCGAGCTGCGGGTATGATGGTAGTGTAATGTAGAGCAAAATGCATTGCAAAATGCAAATAATAAGTATCGTCGAGCAGTTTCTCGTATATTTCATGTATTTCGTAAGCATTCGTGAATGTAAGTAATTTGTAAGCAACTCGCGGAACTTTTTCAATCAACACGAAATAATTTTGTCGTCGCGTTATTATCGTACGTTCGAAAGAATCTCATGTGCCGCGAAGCACACTCGGTCGTTCCGTTTTACCGTGTCGATATACCGCCGCTGACCAACAAGCGTAAACGATGCCAGCGAGTTACGTAAAACGAAGGACACGAGTTTCGATGTTCCCTATCGATATAGACTTCCGATGTTTATTCAATTATAGTCGTTGTGACACCGTGGGAAAAACATTTCTCAAAGGGCTATGAGCTTTCTGAATAATAAACGAAAGATTTCCTCTGTTTTCATTATTTTATTAAAATAATATCTTATTGAAACGCGACGGAGGACAATGAGCTTACGGTATGGGGAAAAAGTCGAAAATATTTATTATCCCGAATCAAAATTGTCACGTCAAGCAAATCAAAAGTCCGCTGAAGATGCGTGAAGAAATTATCCCACGTCACTGCTATAAACAAGCGCAACTTTCATAGATTATAATGCAAGTGAAATTTGTTATTAATATTCATGACGATCGTAAATTCAGATATCTCGATTGCTATTCGAAACAAGACCTATGTCAATACACCAATCATACATTTCTCGCTTGCAATTTTATCGTATAATTATCTTGATTACCTGCGTGCACCCGAATAATTTAATACTACATCATTTAGCGACTGTTAACAGCGAGCGAACTTGCCTTTTGAAGCGATAGGTATCTGTTTAGCGGTTGATATCGAGCACTTCGTCGTCGTCGTTGATAACGACGTCGTCGAAGGCCAAATTTATGTCACCGGCCGGCAAACGTGCAATCAGACAACGTAGAGCTTCAACACAACACCAGGCAATCGTTTGCCGACCTCGCCACCATTTTTTTTTTTACTTCACGACAACGCAAGTGAATGGATGGATGCGCGCACCGGTATTTTCCCAGGCGCATCCGATCGTTCGTTCGATCAGGTGGGCGGATGGCGCGACTGGGGATATGCCCCTCTGCTCTCTTCCACGTTTGTATATCCGTCGTCGCGACTCGGCAGACGCGATCGCTTTTCATTTCGTTACGGATCTGCCTCGCAATCGGTTAGTGGGACGGCAGCCTCGCGTCGATCTCGCTTTCTGTTCGCTCTCGCGTAGGAACGAACCGAGAGTGAACCGTTCTAGCGTTAATAACTGGATGATGTCGAGAATCACGTGAAGCTGAAGTCGCGGATACGCACCGATCCTTGCTTTAACCAGTCGGCGATGCGCCTCGCATACCAGCCAAGTGCGATAATCGTTACGAGAGAGAGATGAACGACGGAAAGGCGTTTGCGTAATAGCGTGAGTTTTAAAAATATAAAGCGGCGGCAGCGGCGGCAAAGCTACTATTTCTAAGCTCTGAGAACGTAATCTCTTCATTTAGAATAGGCCTCACTATTTACCGATTTATCTCGATACCGACGGTTTATGTAATTCATTGCATAATTCATCTTATGGTATCACTTCTTGATTAAAACAGACTTTTCTCACACGGAGTCGTGGCTCGCCCGCCTCTGGTCATAGAACGCGTCCTGCATATGATAAAAATGAACTGAAAATTGTTATCGTTTCTTATCGTTATTTTCATAAATACGAGACATTGGCCGATATTGACCGTAATGCATACTTACAACAGAATAAATTTTATTCATTTCAACGATTTCCTTTCATTTCCAACACAAACTCTTTCTCTTCTACAAATCGTTTCTGTGCGTTGCATTGTGCGCTTATATACGTAACGTAAGCAGATAAGAGCAGAAGCGCAAGATAAAAGAATGAAACGCATAACTTTATGCATATTAACATACTGAGGAACGTTGCGTTATCTCGAAGCCTTGGGAGAATCGGGTCGCTGAAAAACGCGTCGTTAACACGAATACACGTGCCTAATGTCCACAGTTCTATTAGACAATGAACTCAATAACGCGCGCACACGTTTCACGTACGTTTACGCACGAGCCCGATGGTTATGTAAGAATATTTGCATAGGTACAGGTAAATCATTGGCGCGAATGCAGCAGGGAATGTCGTTGCAGAATTGATAGAATTAATCGGGGAGTCCCTGAAGCAATTTCTTGCAGTAGACTTTGTTTTGTCGCGTTCAAAGGCGTAAAATGACTGTGGCGACGATGCTACGTTTCGCCGGCACGATTTTCATCTTCTGCCTCGTCGTGAGCACAGGTGAGAAACAGCATTATTAACGACGCGAGATTAAAGTATCCCGAAAGTTACAATTACATGAATTTGCCATGTTGGATTTAAGAAAGTGTCACGATTAAGCCCGAGGAGATGTTTCCTTGCTTTTCAGCGAGACGAAGTTATACGGGCAAATTATAATGCAAATAATGAAATAATTGTGGCAAACCATTCCGTCAGGTTGGTCCTACGACTGTTCGAATCAAGATACAGGATGGGAGAAGGTTACCGGAGCCAAGCCAACAAATGCTGTTGAAAGTCTATTGTACAGAAACGGTGCCATAGGAAACAACGGTATCGTTGCGCCCTGCTTCGACAGGTAATTATCGATTACTGATCGATCGTTCGACAGGTAGTTTCCAACGTTACATAACACACAGGGGTGATTTGTAGTATTGTAATCACGGGCTACACCAGAAACGTCATTTGTGGAAAAGAGGTCAAACGCATTTACACTTATCCACGAGATATAGAAAGATAACTGGATAAGATATCGAAAGTTCATTGGTCGCAAAACAATCCGTCTGTTGTAGGTGTAAAAGTCAGAATTGCACGGCGTTTGTGATCGACTTCTCGAGGAACATTTGTTACAGCGTGAAGGTGAACGGCAACGAATTCGTTCCCGAATCTAACGCTACTTTCTTTCATAAAATCTGCATTAGAGGTAAGAGTATTTGCATGAAAATAATTCTCACTATAGCGCGTGTACATTGAAGAATCTATCTGTCTATTCAAAACAATATCATCTAAGTGATCGGATACGCATAGAAGCGTGTTTGGTTTGATGCTCGCAAAGTGTGTCGAAGTTCTCACTTTCCGCTTTCCGAACATCCCTCACGATTCACAGTCGCATCGTTTGAAAATTCATTTTTGAAAGTTCTTTGCTTCGTCTTTGAGTTCCTCCCAGTTGCAAACAGCAGAGGTTGTGGCAAGTGGAGAGAACCTTAGGAGCTATTTTTAAAGATGGACAAGTCGAAGTGTACCACGAGTACTTACGGAGAAGCCAATGTTACGAGAAGTGTCTGCAAGCAGGTATATGTCCGAAAGTTTTGTCAGCACTAGTGTAATTACATCAATTATATCGTAATTAACTCGTTCTAAGTAACTCGATTGAAACTTCCGACGAGCGACGGACGATAAAAACGCGAACTTGGACTTTCTCAGGCGACGAGTGTGGCTCCGCGCAATTCCGTACGATTCCTTTGTCGATCGATAATACCCTCGGCAAATGTTCGTTATCGAGGCTCGAGAGAGGCATTAGACCGCAGGCCTACAGATCATCGATGTATCGGGATGAATATCTGCAATCTCAGTGCCATAACATATGTAAGTCGCTAATAAGAGCTGACACGAGAAGCTGAAAGAGGCAGCCGTGGGCATACCTTTAGGACGGCTGATCGCTTTGAAACTCGCTCATTGATCCTTTCCGTGCCGCATGCTTACAGAGATCAGAAAGAAACGAATTGTAAATATCTATTATGTTTTTCGTAAGAGCAATATAGTACGGAATATGCGGCACCTTATGAGCTATTGAAAGTTCACAATGTGTGGATTGCGAATTTGAATTGAGTCGAGTTTCGTATGTTCTACAGCGAAGAGGAGCTATTGTTCCTACGCGGAATTTCGGAACGTAACATTGCCATATTCGGACGTAGCGCTACCGGGACTCGACGCCAAACGGGTATCTCTTATATTCCCTAGCGGCATCGGCTCGCTCGCAAGCGAGCCGATCACTCATTCGCGATCTTTTCTAGTGCGAGGAGAGGTGCGATCGTGGCGAGGACGGTTTCATCTGCAGGGCATATACCGTTGATTATAACGAGGACAGAGTGTTCTGTTTGCTGCACTCGGACGACACGATCGCTCTCGGAGTCAGTGCGTTGATCCCTGCGCCCAACGTGATCTACAAGGAACGAGAGGCCTGTCTGGATTGTATGTTCGCGAGAGATTTTGCATCAACACGAACACGCATACATCGGAGGAAGAAGATTCATTGAATTAACGTGACAGTGAATGAATCGTACGCGTTTTGGTTGAAACCAAATTTCCGCTCCTGAGAATCGAATTTAGTTTATAAAAACTATAAATTCTGTTTCCTTCAACGAAAACGCGTTTGGTTCGTTCGTTGTCACGTTAATTCGATGAATCAATTATTTTTCTCCGTGAGTTCGGTTAAAATCAGGCGGTTCACGCTGCTCCGCAGTGAGGGTGCAATGCGGCGAATCGAACATGACGGTGACGCTAACTACGACGGAACCCTTCGAGGGACGGATGTACGTGAGTGGATACGCGGAGACCTGCGGTGTTCACGGTGCCGGGGAAAACGTGACTGTACTGACACTGCCGCTGCCGAAGAGGGAACACGTCGGCAAAATCGACATCATGTGCGGTCTGACACCCGCTTTCTCCATCGACAGTCAAAATCGGTATGAAGTACTGAGTAAAATTCAACAAAGAGTCCTAAGCAGCGCAAATAGTAGCTTAGACAGTTCACGGACAGTTGATTTTACGAAATATTTTATTTACAGAACGCATACGTTAGTATGGGCCGTTATTGTGATACAGTACAATCCGATTATTCAACGATTAGGAGATCAGTCGGTGAAAGTTGGATGTTCGTTGGACGATCGCGATCTCCCAGAACCGAGAAACGTATCTGTTCACTCAAGTTTTTCTTTCTTGGACCCAAAGTGAGTCTGCAAAACGATCTCGTCCTTTAGTCAAGGGATTATCTCTGATGAAACAATCGGCATCTTTGCCGTGAATTATCTTGCAATATCTTTCTCCGCCTCGTGCGAGACTGCTGACTGACATTATGGCAAATATATTTTCCCGATATTCCGGTTCTGATTGCTGTTTCTAGCGCAGGCGTGCCGCCGGTTGTATCAACTGTAGTGAACTCGTCGTCGGAGCCGACGGTAACAATGAGGATACTTAACGAAGACAATACGGATGCCATCGTTACCCAGTTGGGGCAAAAGTTAACGCTCAGAATAGAAATCCATCCTGCGAACGGTGGGTCACGCGGTCATTCGGTTTAAACGGAAGAAGATTGATTTGGTTCTGGTTTCGGAATTCTTTTTAGCTGAACGTGTATCGTGTACGGATATTCGCGCGTTGCAATTATTAACTAAAGAACGCAATTTTTGACTAATTTAAAACCAAGTTTTGATTGACAATAATGACACATACGAAACGTAAAAATATACGATATCGTATTGTGTGAGATTAAATAAAAATAAATAAAAAAATAAAATTTTAATTAAATTAAAAATTTAAGTTTAAAGAAATAAAGGGAAATAAAATTGAAATACACAACTGAGCGAAATGTATTCGAGAAATATTAACGAGAAATAAAATAATTTCCCTACAGGTCCTTATGACATCAAGGCCGGACATCTCGTTGCTAGTAGCTCAACTGGAAGTTCTTCATATCTTCTTCTTAGTGAATCCGGATGCCCGATAGATTCGGCGACTTTCCCGGCGCTTTTGAAAGATCCAACGGACAATCGTTCCTTAGTTGCAGCATTCACTGCCTTCAAATTTCCCGATAGTCAAATCGTCCGATTCAACGTCATAGTCAAGTTCTGCTTCGAGATGTGCGAGCCAGTAAGTAGGCTACTTGCGTTTCTTCTCTTGAGATTTCCCAACGCAATCTTCACGTTTTAAACCGCAATTGCTAGACTCACTAATAAATTGTAATCTTAATTTACAAGTCGCTAATTATAATTAGTATTAAAACAGGATAGTAAATAATAAATTCACGATTCTTTTCAAGACTATATGCGGAGGAGGAAATATCTCATATGGCAAGAGACGACGATCGGTCGAGGAAACGACTACGGTCAGTGGCGAGGTAATGGAAATTTTCAAGAACCTCACGCCCACGGAAATGCCATTACAATTGTCTATCGTTGTTCAAAGTCCAATGATAACGGCGGACCATTTGATGTCCAGGGAAAATCCAGTTCCTGACACAGTGTTAATTGCCGGCGAAAGTGAGTCACATTTTCCGGGAAAAAGAGAGATATGCAAAAAAGCCGATTTCGTTGGTTGTTTCAGGCATAACCGAGGTCAACTGAAACCGGCATTAAAAGGCTTATGAAACACTGAAGAAGAATATATAAGTTTCATTTATATCTTTTCACATCTGTCCGCATCTGTCTTGCTTTATTGTTTTTTATCGTTTTATTCTTTTTTAGCGTTTTATAAGCTTTCGTTTAATACCGATTTGAATCGCCCAAACAAAGCGGGAACAGCCACAAGTCTTTTTTCAGAAGCAGAACTGCGGAGCACTAACGGCAACTGTTTTCCCAGGATCTCTAGACGGCCTCTTCTGCGTAGACGCGAGTTTGGCTCTGGGCCTTTTGATCTTCTGGCTGATCATCCAAATTGTACTCACCGTCGGCTGCCTCCTGACGGTTGGCCGCTACAGGCGGATGGCTGTGGAGGCGGAAGAAGACCGAGCCGAGATACTGGCGAGGCATCTTTACGGGATTCACGGAGGGAACTTTGAGATTGCAAGACGAGTCAGATGGGCCGATCGGAACGGCTCCTCGAACGGATGATCGTTCTTACTTCTCCGTCAACTTTTTCTAAGCGGAAACAGATCTGTATCTCATGACCGAACTATCATAGCTACGAGACTCTGCTTTTACGTACTTAAAATACGTACCTGAGCGTTTCAATAAAATATTATGCTTTTTGTAAAATACGCGAGGATCGTCATCTTTCTCTTAACTTTTATTTCACATTTCGCAACAATTCGCACGAATCGGCATTATCGAGGTCCGTGGTACTTCTTATCACTAGCGAGAATTCACTTTCCACATTAGTCGTTTTGTACATTACATTTATGCAAGGACTATGAGCAAACAGCAGTACAATTCGTCGCCCTCGAGTTCGTCACCGCGTTTTGCGCATTTTGCAGGATCCTTAACGAGAGAATATCACAAGCTATCATCATATTCGCGTCGCAGATGAGGCGGCGCGATAATAAGAAAACCATCGTAGAAAAGGATATGTATGTATCGATGTATAATACATGCATTAATGGCTTATTAAGAACACTTTACAGAGTAGCAATCACGGCATATTAGCGATAATAATCACATCCGGAAGGAAGCCTTAACGTTAACGTTAACGACTAATGTTATATACAAGATGTACATGCAGCAGATCGATCGTGCGTAATACTGAAGAAGAAATCATTCGTCGAGAGTAGCGAAAAGTCGGACCGATTCTCCGAGTCGGTGGCGCGCTCCTTTAATTTCGAGTCTAAAGGAGGATGTACACTCGGCGAACGAACGAACGAACGAAGTAAACGTTCGATGTAAACGTGTGCGCGTCTAAACGCGCGCGAACTTCGATAAGCCGCCTTGCAAGGAAACCGGCCACCGTTCTGTTCATCCGTTTCACCCGTTCCATTGAATCTTCCAAATTGTATCAACGAAAGTCCGTATCCGCCATTCGTTCTTCGTTCGTTCGCTCGGTGTATACGCCCGGCTTAACGAGTCGGACTCGTCCGAAAGTTTCGTTTCCTCTTTCGCAATCGTCACGTCCGAGTGGCGTTACGCGCGTTCGGGATTTCATTTTCGCCGAACGCGCGGACGGATCTCTTTAGGAACTGGTGTAAGCGTCCGCGTGTAAAGCGGCGAATAGCATACCCAATCCGCCGTCGTCGTTCGTCCGCATGACACGCAACCGCCTCCGGTGGAGCCCTCAAGTTCGGCCTCGCGACGTGTAACGTTGCTAATTAGCGGAGCGCTCGCCGCGTCAGGCTGTGTTTGAAGAAAGCGACGCTCGGGTCGGCCCGGCCGCGATAAATAGGAAGAAAGTCAAACAGGCGTAAAACCCCCTCGCTTCCCACCGTATCATTAGCGAAAGGAATTACGACGACGAGATTATTACGACGAGGGTCCGCGATCCCGACTATTCCTCGGGCGAGCGCATACTTCGCTTAATCATCGTCCGACTTTCGAGAGCCGCCGGCTCTCCGATGGAAGCGGCAGCTGTTGGCTCGACGACGTTTCTGAGCGCGCTTCGTCCGCGCTCTCCCGAACGGACCGTCAGCAATTGTCGACGAACGAGGCGGTGGATCCACTTGCGATTTCCGCGTACTCCTGCCTGCCGGCCGAGCAGAGCTTACTGGAGAAATCCGCCTCCCGTTTTCTATGCGAACAGGAAAGATTACGGATGTTACAGTTGTCGATCACGATCGCCGGCCTCTTCTTCCGCGCGGGGTGTCGGAACAATGATGGATGGAATATTCGTGTTCGTATTCGCGTTTCGAGAACAAGATCAACTCGCGAGCGCGCGTTCGATTTTTTAAAGCTGCAGCCATCACCGATTCGGGCGAAAGAATAACCGAAAAAGTAACGAGGTAGGTGAACCACCACCGTCGGGTTTGTTTCTTTTTCATGCCACAACTTATGTAGGAGTAAGGTACATTCGGCCCGTACCGGAAGCTGACGAGATATCAATTCGGCACTGAAATATGGAATTCACCGAAGATACGATCAATGTTTTCTCGACCATTGTGGATACATTCGTTCCTCACCCTCTGCCCGGCAGATCCATGATGTCCACGGAGACGCTGTTGACGTAAAGGTGATCATTACACCAGAAGAAGCAGAGGGAACGAGGTTGCAACACGTCCATGTCGTACACCCAGGAAAGCTCAACTCGCCTGACTTTACCGATGTTGCCGATGGAACCGGTAGGATGGGCCACGACCATTCGTGCCGTTGAGCCGTGCTCCAGTTTCATGTAACCACTGAAAAGCGAGGGAGATTAGTCGCGTATATTCAACCTCTCGATCGAACGTGTTGACGGGATGAAGTTCGTCGCGTTATCTCCCGCAAACTTGGCGGGAAAGGTCTGTATCTTGCCGGCGAAGTTCTCAAGTACAACATCACTTTAGCCGCTCTCGGGCGCGGCAAACTCATCTGCGAGCGACTTGAACTCGGCAGACGTTGCTTGTGTAATCTAAAGGGAACGAAGTTGAACATTTCCAGGTGGGTTCCCACCGGAAATTCAACGGAACTCGTGTGAATTCATGACGGAATGTTAAAAATCCATGTAGGAATCCACACGGTGTGTGAAGATCCATATAGGAATCTATATGAATAAAGCCGCGTCGGTGCAGGTTGCACGTAAATGATCGATTTCACTTCCAAATCGGATAATAGTCGAGACGAAGGAAGAAACTCGAGTGACTCTGTCGCAAATGAGAAAGGCAGTGCGCAGCCTGAAATGTGCGGAGTCATCAAGTATATAAAAAACCGAAAAATCTGCAGGTGGGATCTAAACTAAAGGCGAAGTAACTCTCACGGAAACATCGTCGTAGCGTTACAGGTTGCCGAGACGTTGATCACGAAGGATCGTAACGGATCGATGCTGAAGCGACGGGTCACCAAATATGTGAGATCCCAATTTCTGTTATATTAAAAACAATCTTACGAACGATTTTGCCCTCAACGAACTCTATCGCGATTCTTCCCTCTCATCATACTTGTAACACAACGTGCGATTGCGTGCGACATATTGCGTGCTCTGGTGACGAGGAAATCAAGCGCGTGCACACTTGGTGGCATCGACGGAGCATTAGTCAACCATCGACCGGAGCTGAAGTTTCACGACGTAGACCGGGTATTTATAGTCGGATGTCATGTTTCGAACCGTCTTAAATTCATCTTCGGATGCGAATTTCTCCTAACGTCAATGGAGCGATCCGTAGAGTATCTGAAGATAAACTTAAAGACGATCTTAAGTACAATCTGACTATGAATACTACTCAACTCTAACTGCCGTCGGTCAGCACCATCACGCGATTCATATTTAAAGTACGTTTGAAATATAAATAGCCCAATGTGATTTTGGCCACGCTTTCGGCATTTCGATAAACCCAATCACTGCGATATGCATCTATAGTCAGTCATAAAATGAATCGGGACCACAGACATCTATATAAAATTAACATAATAGCTAGTTGGAATCACACGCTCGTGCTGACGCTAATGTTCGCTCGAAAACTGATATCGATGCTGCGGTTTTAAACGGCTGTAACTGGCTAATGAGCCGACACAGCGGTATGAAATAAAAAGCATTCAAACATGCCAAGCTATCCCGCATAGGCGTCTATGTTGCTCTTTTATTATCAATTTGTAAGACTCGAGTGTCGGGAACGATTAAGTTGTGAACGATTGTAACTTTCGTAATTGATATCTCGGCAACGCGTCATGCCACGTCGGTGCGGATTTCACGGAAATTAATTAATTCGCCTCTGGATTCGGTCCTTATCATAAATACATCGATTGCACGTACCAGTTGACGCTGCACTTTTCCATTCGATCTATTATCAATTTCGTAATTAATATCCCGGCAACGCGTAAAGCCACGTCGATGCTGATTTCATGAAAATTATACAGCACGTTGCGAGGCACGAGACTAGGTAGCCGTGGTTTCATCCGGCAGGCGCGGCGCGTATATGAATTATCGAGGTCAATAAACGAGGCTTGCACTTGCCTGGGTGTTAGATCCATGTTGCGTATCACGCCGTTGTCGGCGTGAAGAGTGACTTTCATGAAGCCCTGCACCCAGCTCTCCGCGGTCGACGGACGGGCGAGGTTGATGGTGATCCTGTAATGCCTTCCTGAAAGGTGTCACGATCGATATCAGGAGGATATCTCTTTCGAGGTTGTAGTGGAAGAGAACGACAAAGAGAGAAAGAGAGAGAGAGAGAGAGAAAGAGATGCGTCGCTTTATCACGCGAGCGGACGCGCGTTCATGTGGAGAAAGTTGCGTCTCGATAGAGAAAAGTTGCTCTCGCGCTCTCGTAGTGAAACACAGCGATTCGCTGGTGTAGTATTCGCGATACTTCTTTCTTTTCCCGCCGTCGCTATTAAACGATTAACTGGAATGCCACGGCGAATTGATTGAGTCAACATCGATTGGATCCCTACGTTAACGTAGAGTGCTCCCGTTCGCGGGGCGCTTTTACAATGTCGTAATGCCAGCGTAAAAGTACGAGACATTGTGATGGAAAGCTAATGGTCGGTCGCGTTTGCGCTCGCGTCCGAAGTGGCATTTATTATCGGGAAAGTCAGCATTTATATATACCGCTACACCTCAATTCCGAAACGTCGAGACGAAACTATCGCGTTAGCGTGACTTTACGTAGCGTATCGGCCGATTGCACAGTGGTAGCTGAAATTACCCACGCTAATGCGCGAGAAAGAACGCGGCTATTCGAGGCTGGATTCGTCTTCCTCAGCGTGGTCTCTCATCGTATTTAAACTCGTGAAATTCCTCAGCAGTTGATCTACCGATTAATCTCAACCGGTGTATTCTGTCGTTGACACTCCTAATTATGACGCGAGTCCGTTGCCGAACGACGTGTGCGGAGTTTAAGATTCGACGGGTTAAGAGGCCGAGACTCACTGCAGTATGGATCCTCCTTGCCGGTCACGAAGAAGAACTTCGAGCCCAGTAAGGACGAGACGTCCTGGCCCATCGCCTGGCGCTTGACCAACGCCGGGCTGGTGTCCGCGTGGTAACCCATCACGCCGCAGCTCAGGCTGTTGTTGCTCTTGCAGGAGAAGCATTCGCCCCGCAGGAAGCTGGCGTAGTTCGAGCACTCGTGCGCCACGTACTGACACTTGGAGTTGATGCTCTCGATGAAGAGCTTCAGCGCGCGCACGTGGTTGCACGCCACCAGGACGCGCGACGCCTCCTCGAGACCTTCGCGTATCAGGGTCAGCGGCAACGATGGCGTGGTCTCGCTCAGGTCGGTGCATCCAGGTTGTTCCTTGCCGTTGTTCGGATAGAAGTCCAAGTGGCCGCACGGCTGACTCATCCCGTATCCTGGAAGGCCTTGCCGTGTATTACGTTAGTCAGACAACGTGATTCATGTAAGAAGCTGCGCAGCTCCATCCTACTTAGCTTCGGGAGCTTGAGGAGCGCCGCACAATGGGGCGAATAATGTTAGTTTCGGGACGCTCGGCGAAAAAAACTGAAACTTCGAGTTTTAACGCGTCGTCGTGGAAAACGTTTAGTTAATACTTATAGATTTTTAATTATATCAGCTTTGTAATGTTATATGAAATTATTTTCCCGCACAGTTTTTTCTTTTTCTCGAAAATATTAATCTTTCACTTTAATATGTCATTTCTCTCCACTGGAAATTTCTATCATAAAAATGTAATATTTATGAAGGTTTTAAAGAAATATCTACAGTGGGCCGTCTGTATTCGAAGTTTTATAAAACTATCCATCTTAGACTACTATATGTATGTGAAGAGATCAGGTGTTCCTAAATGCGAAATATATCTTTTTGAAGATGTTTATTCATGTATCACGAGATAAAAAAGAGATTTCGCACGTTTAAACAAACACTGCATAATAACTGAAATCATACGAGAAACATTCTTATTCAAATAATACGTGTTTGCATTTGAGAAATAAATATTTTGATCGTGTTATTTGAATAAATGTCAACCTCTCTGAGCACTCCCTCTTCCTCTGCACGCCATTGTTCAGGGATTGCTACGCTTCGCCCTATTGTGCGGTGCCTTTTGAAATTTAAATCAATCCCCAGCTAATGGTTTAGCGATGTAATTTCCGCGGAAAAAAGAATGGAGCCCCGCTTCCCGTTGTCAAGCTTCATAGCCCCGAATGATGTGAATTTTTCGATGAGAAATCAGACGACGACGATTAATTGGTTACATCGCTCACCTAAAAAGAAGATGCTCTTGCCGTCGGTGTGTATCACATCGACCAGCCGGGCGTCCGTGTAGTCCAATCGAAGGTGGCTCGGCATTCCTTGGAAATACGGTTCCGCGGGATCCAAGCCGGTGATACGGCCGATATTGCCGGCCAATTTTTCGCCCGCGTAACCGGCCGTGTGAGCGCCGAGGCTGTGGCCAATCAGGTGCACGTCGTTCGGGTCCAAGCCGTAATTGGTCTATTTCATTAAGGTAACGAAATGAACGGGACATTTGAGGGAATATAAATAGCACTTCGATAAGAGGCAGTCGCGGTCGAGCGAGCGTAATCACGGTTAATGAAAAAAAAATGAACACGCACGGTCGGTTGCGGTCGGATGCGGTTGGTTCTTGCCAGGCCGTCACCGTGTGTTTCTACTCCTCAAAGAATACTTATAAGTTTGTCTTAGCTCGAGATAGATTTTTCTCTTACTTGCAAATGCTTGATGAGATGAGCTAACTCCAGCCCGACCAGTCTCGTGTTCGCCGTCGCTTGGGTGTACAAAGGTAAACTCCCACCTGCCCAGTCGACCACGATAACGTTGTAGTCGCCGTGTACCAACAGCTCGCTTCTCATCTCCTGCGGGCCATGAATATTACGAGGATATATATGGTGCGGGCACAATCGCTGTTTCGCTGTTTCGAGAGAGAAAGAGCGAGAGATATACGTAGCCCGTAGTCGAATGCAAATCGCGCATTCGCAATGCTGTTTGCATATCTCTTTACTCGCGAAACGGTGAACCGATAGAGAAAATGAAATTCGCCTTTCTCTCTCTCTCTCTCTCTCTCTCTTTCTCTCTATGCTGATTCATCATCCGGCCGAAGATCTGCTGGCCGTTTGCTCGCCGTTCGCTACGCGAAAGTATAATACAAATATATAGGTCGATCGAGTATTCAAATGAGGGAATAGTTAAACCTACCTTCACCCAGTTGCTCAGCGGCGTGTCAATGAAACCGTGGATAATAAATTTGGTTTTGCGCTTGGGATTGAAGTTCGAGTGCTCGATGGACTTGTCCTTGGACACTTTCAACACTTGACCCTGTAAGCGACGACGGACGTATATCATCGATTGCATCTTACACGTTGTACTAAGTGACGTGTCAATTGAATAAATGTTTCTTTTTCAAAGTAATGGTTATCTTGAACAAAGGATATTTTTTTTCTTAATAACAGTATTGAAATATACTTATAAAAAGTATCGGAAAAACATTAACGTTCGCTCGAAAGAAGATATCGCGCGTCAATGAATTTCATTGGCGCTTCCGTCGTGAAAAACTAAAAAATGCTGCGACGTTCGTTTCACGATCCAGCGGCTCCACGCGATGTTATGCGACGGAGACACATGGATTTCACCGCGAGTAACATCGCCGTATCCCGACACTCCTCTCCCCGGTTTCCTTCTGAGATATCCGTTAGATTGTAAATCAACGATCTTATCTTCGAACGCCACGAAATGCGCGCTGCATAAGCTCGCGCGCGCGCGCGCGCCTTCACCGGCCGCGGAACGCGCGGTTTTGTCTAATTAATCAGGTCAATTAAGATATTCCGTGGGCAATTAAATACCGGCTGTTAGAGTACCGGGAGCCGCGATCACGAGGAGCGATACGACGGTTTATCGTTCACTTTCGACTACGCCTCGTCTGTCTAATTACCCCTGTCGCGAGATAAAATCCCCCGCTCACGCCGTTAACGCACAATTTCTACAGATGTGCGCGGTTACGTACGCGGAAATATTTACGTCGTATCGGATATTAGCCGAGAAATCCCGCAGAGTCGTAGAGGAATTTCAGTCTGTTTCTTCAGAGGTTTCACTTTCGCGCGTCCACAGCAGCCTCCGATATATATGGCGTTTCGCGTGCCCGTACGAGGTATGTTTATCAACCGATCCTCGATGATTCACTCACTTCGATCGGGTTCTGATTCGTGTAGAGAATGAACCTGGTATTGATGACCTCTCGCGGTAACGGAAAAACGTTGAGCGGCCGATTAATGAGGTGGTACCAGTTCCTGGTGATGTTCAGGCAGCCCAGCTCGTCGTAGCAGCGCGTCTCGTTCTCGACTGAAAAATATCGTTGACTTATCATCGTCAGATACGATCTCAGGAGCGAATAAAAGGATGCGCGAAAACGGGACGAAAGATACGCGCAAGTTCGCAAGGAACTCGAGGAAACTTGCAACCGCGCATATTCATCGTCAGCCGCCGCGGCAGCGGGTAGCTATCGCGATGAAATTTTCCACGATGCGCGCGTCAGGCCAGCGTGACGATAATTACAGGGCAGCCAAGGTATGTTGACTTCGATCCGATCGCTACGCGCCCATTGCCAAGGGTCCAGGATTCCGGCGGAGCAGATAACAGGAGTCAATGCGATGAGGAGCAGGACCAGCGCTCCTTCGCTGCCGCCGACTCCTCGTCCGTTCATGCCGCTGCTCCTCGTCCTGCAAAAGAGAGAGAGAGAGAGAGAGGATGATCAGAGGGAGGCGATGAAAAGACGAACTGATCGAATTGTCGCATTTTTCGGCATTTCTTTACACGGTGATAATAACGATAAGCAAGACCGACATGTGTTAGCATTAAATGTGTGTCAAGATGCACGAAAAAGAAAGAAATTGATATCAATGTTTTTCTCTCATAAGAAATTCATATTCTCATATAAAAGTAAGAATAGATAAACTTGTATGAAGATAACGCCACCAAATGGAATGGCTTTTATGAATTAAGAGGAAAAAATCCTGGATAAGAAGAACGATATTTATCAAACTGATACAATCTGTAATTTGAAGATATCCTTCTTCCTATCCGATATATTTTTCCTCTCAATTCGTGAAAATTATCCTTGAATAACGATTCTTGAAGACTAACTTTCTCTCCGTGTACCTTCGTCGCATCCTTGAATCTGTTTTATCTACTCGTTGGAAATATTTATTCACTCCGTTTCGCCGTAAATGTTATATTACCTGCGAGAGAACTTTTACGATGACGAGTGAACTGCACGCTGCGATTAACGCCGACTATTGTAAAACTGAGATAATGCGAGGACGTTATGCATCGCAACCGTGACGAAACCGAGCGATAAATACTGACGGTTTCTTGTGCGTTTTAAGTAGGCGTCACTCGAAAATTCGAAGGATTACTAAATTGCCCGAAAGAGCAGTCCTCAAATTTAAAGAATCGCCCGGCGTGATATCGGAATGTGAAGGACGACGCGCCGCACCGTCCGGAGAATTATGATCAAGGTTTTAATCATCTCGTTCGTTAAGTGCTCGAGAAGGCATTTCGCGACGACGCGTCCGGTTAAGCTCGCCTTGGAAAGTCAATGTACGCGAGAAAGGAACGGACGTTTCTTTTAATTCGTCGGCAGGAATAACACGCAGCTTCCAAGGAACACCTTGTTCGATGGGTAAACGCTAGCGGATAAATTGCCTTTTAACGACGGAGCGATTTAACGAGCGCACTTGTCGCGATTACGTAATTTCTTTGTCGCCGATCCGCCGATGAAAAACAACAGAGCGGGCCGAGATCCATCTTCGCGGAAAATTCTGCTGCTATTCTCGTAATCGTGACGTGAAAAATAATTTTATCCGACATCCGGTCTTTCGTAACGATATTCCTATATGAAAATAACAACGCGCAACGCGAGATAAGCCGGGATTTATCGTTTGCGCACGTTCCCCTCGCGATCGATGAGCGTGCGAGAGTTTTTATCCGCTCGAATCGCACGTTGTCGTAATCGTGCGATGCGTGGACCTGCATTATTCGCGCCACGCGCGATTCGCGTCGTGTGTGGCTCGCAATGACGTGACGGCGATCGGTAGAATGAGGAACAGGAAGAAACTAGCCTGCGTAAACGCAGCTGGACATGTCGATGATATAATCGACGTTGTAATGTCTGTGAGCGCCCGTTAGTTCTTTTACGACAGCGAGGCATTCAAGTGATTAATCGATCTTGCCGCCGATTAAATCACGACCGTCGACTCGACAGGTTTCTGCAAAATTCGTCAAACGCTTTCATCCGCTTTTTCAAGTTTCGTCGTTAAACACGAGGCAGGGACTTTCCCGGCATCAGTCTTCGTTGACTTACGTAACGAGCCGCGATGAAGTTGTGTCACTCGCGCGAATACGCGAGAGCCTCCTTGATCCTAGACAGTGTCACGTGCTTTTACACGAAGGAGGCGGTTCGCGAGGCGAGGGGGCGTCGGAGCAGGTAGAAACGCCCTAGCGAGCTTTATCACGCCGCCAAGTGGTCATTCATCGACAGTCGTGCTTTCACCGGTCGCTAGGCCGCCACCGTGTGTTTCGCCTCGGCGGGAAACGCACCTCGAAAACCGTACGCGACACTTTGTATCAACCGGTCGGCCGTTTAAAGCGCGCTGCTCCGGCCGGTGAACAGGCGGCTCGCATTAAAATCCTGTCGCTTCGTTGGCGACGGTGGCGACGTACGAACGAGAAAGCGTGTTATTATTTACTCTGCGAGCCGGCAAAAAATCTCGTTGCCGAAATAAAACTGACAGCGCAGGAGGGATCAACATATTTTTCGACGGGTCGGCTCACACAAATTCTCATTCTGGGAATGTTTTCATTCACACAACGACGATCTCTCTGTAGCCTTGAAACCCTACGCTACGTCGTCGTAATCGTAAAAATCGACACGGCGTGTAATACGAGGAGTAAAAGCGCAGAAATTCAAGATTCCGATCCTTCTCTCTACAACGTTGCCGTAACACCCGCGAACGTGAGATCGGAGCGGGCTTCCGTAATCGTCGTGTGAATAAATGAATTTTTCAATTAATCCGTTTAATCGATGATACGCGTGATGAGAGGGCCGAGACGGAATGCGGCGGGAAGGGCGAGGATAATTCGAAACTTGTTACGGAATAAGCGAAAATACGGCCAGCACCGCGCGGAATGTCGCACGCTATTTTCTGCATTCCTCGCGGGCAGCTGCGACCGACGTTGCGGAGAGCGCGCACCTTCGCATATGCGACGAGTATCGGCGAGTATCGGCCTTTCCCATGATCATCGATAGGCCGCCCGGTCGCTCAATGAGTCATGCGTAAACGAACACACGCAAAGCGGCACGCATGAACGTCGGTATCATCCACTTTTGCCGCGATTGCCGCGATTCTGAAGAGGTACGTGCGTGTGTTACTTATTCGTCGTGCGTCATTTTCAAGTCGCTCGCCCGCGCCCGCTCGGACGACCAAGCCAGCTTTCGGCCTTCCCGTTTTTGCGTGCGACCACTTTCCCCTACTTCTGTAATGAGTATCCTAGAAGCAAACTCGGACAGCGGATTAGCCGCGTTTATCCGCCGAGTTCCGACATTGACACGATGATTTCGAGTATCACACGCAGAAAAAAAGATTCATACCAATTCAAGACTTATGTTTTCATTTATGAGCAGGCATTTTGTATAAAGATAAAGCTTATTGTTGCATGAAGGAATTTTCGATATAATTTCGTTAAAAATGTCATTCTACGCCCAATGTATTTTCCCCTCAATTGGTGAAAATTATTCTTGAATAATAAAGATATATTTTTAATAGAATTATGTACAATTTCATCGTGTAAGTATGTTTTATCTTTATGTTATGTATATTCTCGCGTATAATGAAAGAATATATGTCTTGAATTGGTATAAATTTTTTTCCGTATACTGTCAACCCTTTGTTACGTCCGATCCTCTCTCTCCCTCAGACGTTTACAAAATTATTTCTCGCGAACACTGACGGGGATCCAGACGATGATCATCCAGGTAGCGGTAAAACAGGCCCGAGGCGCGGTGTGGATACCTTCTCGTTCGACCTGCTGTTTTGGCTCGCTTGAGAATCGCGAGCCCGTATCGCCTCTTCGAGGCTGCTCGCGGCGCCCACCGAAGCGAGATGAACCGAAATGGAACCGGTCACTCTCTTTCTCCTCTCTTCCTACAGCCGCATTTCACCGGTGGCGTGCGCGCTTCGGGTATTAAATAATTATTATTTCGAAAGCGAGAGTATATGTGTAACCGCGGCGCGGCGCTAACGCCGCACGAGGAAAGGAGAGGAGGCGCTGCAACGGCCGGTATAATTGTGGCCCAGATTCGGCGTCCTTCCCTGCGGCAATGCTGTACCACTTCCTGTATGTCCCTCGCTCTCCCTCCCCCGTTCTTCTCTCTCTCTCTCTCTTTTTCATCCTCTACGCGTCTTTATCTATCCGTGAGGTGAAACGAGATCGGCGAAACGTGTGTTTTTTGCGTGCCTCTCTCTCTTTCTCTTTAAACGCCGCTTTGAGTAGACGCGCCTATTTCCCCTTTACTTTGATTGCAACATCCTCCCGGGATCTTTAGCGGATACTTTGAGGGAACGTATAAAATTGTGTATTCGCTATTTCGTTCGCTAAGTATCGGCCGCCTCCGCGTTTTCTCGCGGCCCGAGCCATCTTATTCAGCGATTCGCTGCGCTACGACCGTTAACTTTGTGTCGTAAACAACGGCCGCAGCAAAACGACACAGTTTCAAATCGGGTCGCTTCTTCGCGCCTCCGACCTCTCGGATCCTATCTTCTCGTTCTCGCGGCACCCTCCCCCCCGTTCCTCTCCTCGTCGTCGGCGTCGGAGCGAAGTGTCCCACCGGTTTTCCTCTCTCATGCGAACGGGTGTACGCGACGGGTGGTGTGTCGTTGCGCCGCTGCCGTGACTAATTGTACAGGAAGCGTGTTCCGCCGGTCCGCGGAAACGCCGCATTTTTCAGCACACACACACACACACACGCACACACACCTGTCCCCGCGCTCTCCCGAGCGCCGGCTGCATTTTCGCAACTAGTACCGCGCGCACAACGGATTTATCGATTTATCTGTCAAGATCACGAGAAAGCGTGGCGCGCAAACGGCGGCCGAGCGAGCTCTTGAACCTGAAAGATCGATCGCGCCGACATTCTACCGTTCTACCGCAGTTCCCGATGCGAATGTTTATACGAGCTCCGCGGTTGCTCAACGTCTCCACTCACCTTCGATTAATTTCTCGCGGTCCTCGAAACTTTTATCCTAGATGCCAATTCAAACAGCTCGGCGAAATGTCAACGCGACCCGAGAATGAAAGAGAGCGGACGGGACGTTCCTGTCTTTGAGAAAGAGCTGTATCCGCGACACGGAGAAAAGAAATTTCGCTGGAACGGCAAATGTTTGTCGGTGTAGTGACAGCGAAAAAAATTGGTTTGGACAGTAGAAAGATTTGTTGAGGGTATTAATTGTTCATATATAGGCAGCAAATAGCAATTAGTACTCTTCAACAAGTCCTTCCGCTGTCTAAACAAATTTCTTTTGCTGTCACTATATCGACAAACATTTGCCGTTCCTGCGAAATTTCTTCGTGCAACGTTAATAATTTGCACTCCGTTCGCTGATTTGCATATCGGCGAAGTATTACAGAGAGGGTATATCGGTGGAAGGACAATTATCATATT